ACTTGTCCTAGGTAGCGATATGGCCTAATCCTCTGACATGTCAGTAGTCATGTCACTATGACAGGTCACCATGTAACTCACCCACCACCATGTAGCCTATAAATAAGGCATTAACTCCGGTGGGTGAGGGGATCGGATTTTTTGGACTCTATCTCTAAAATCATCAACTTCTCTCTCTAAGATCATTTCTCTCTCAACTCCCTTCGCAATCCCCTGAATCTCTCCAGAAACGACTATTTTCCTCATTGCTTACTCTCCTTGACCCATTTTCCCGAGTCTCCCTCCTACACCCAGTTAGGCTCAAACATAACTATTTCAACCAAACAATCACCAAAACCAAACCAACGATAAGAACTTGGAAGACACTATAGCCATGAATGAATAATTGACTCGCCATGTAAATAAATAAAAGTATTTACTCCCACACAAATAAATATAAATGATTAACATATTATATTAAATCCCTTTTTATAACGAGCAGACTCCGCTAAAATTTAAAATCTTAAAGGCAGGCAGTACCCAGATCTCTGATGCAAAATCAATAACCGTATATTAGCCACGTGAATGTGATATACCCTGTCGCCTTTTCCCATCTTCGTACAAATTACAATTTACTACTTATATTCTGCACAACTCATTCCTGGGTCCATTATCATGAAACATTGACACCCCAAGAAACTAACAGGGTATTAAGTGCGATGGAGGAGAACCAGATCTAGGAATGTATTTAGACAGAGCACCAAGAAAGGAACAGCCTACAAGCACACATCCCCCATTGTTTCTGCCATTCAAGATTGAAGGTTACTGCCAAAAACGACAACAATAGGTAAACCAATGAATTTTGAATTTTGAAATAAATGGAAAAAGAACTTGTTCCATCTGAAAATTTAGATCGTAGATTGTTTAATATGGTGGGAAACGGTGCGGTCCGGACCAGATCATAGACACGGTCTGTGGTTCAGACCAAGAGGCTGGAACATAGACCATGAACTAGACCATATACTATACGATTCAGACCAGATCACGCTTATGCGGTGTGGTCCAATACGGTCTATACCAGACAGACCATGTTAAAAAAAATTCACACTTATTTCTCCTCCAACCCTTCGTCGACAATGCCCAATATGCTAATGAAACAAAAATTTAGTGATCGTAATTAAAATGAGAAGAAATATATGAGGAAAGAAGTGAGATTTTTCAATTTTCAAACTCTCTCTAGTGTCCACGGCTCTATCTCGTATCCATTGAAAAAACACACATGAAATAGCCTTGTTTCCCTCTTCCTCTTTGTGCTACTGCTTCTCTCACACTCTCGGGTGATCTGAAAGTTCTCGCAGTCGATCACCTTAGTGATGACGTTGAGGTCATTTTGAACCACTAAGATGGTTGTTTATCTCTCAATAATCTTCCTTATCTCATCAACGTGAATGAATTTTTTCTAGTGTTTATATTTTATCGACTCTGTAGTCTAGACAGTGTCAGTGAATATTATAGATGAATCTTTCTGGATTTTGTGTGATTCTTTGATAATGAGATAATGCAGCGATCATTTGGCAATTTGTGGGCTCCCAACAGGATGAAGTATCAACTAAGTTTGTTCTTTAAATACATAAATGAAGATAAATTTAGTGTTATTTTGGTTTGAGTTAGTAGGTAATGTGTCACGGTCTGTTACGATTTACTGCGATAGACCACGATCCAGACCAGTTTAGACCACACACTAAATGAGGAGACCGCAAACCAGACCAGACCATAGCTTTGGTCTCACGATCCAGACCAAACCGTACGACACGTTCTAGACTGCGATTCCTCATACGGTTTGGTCTCGATTCCCAACCTATTGTTCATTAGATGATGATACTTTAGTAATGGTTATCTATAGGATAGGACTTCGTTTTACACTGCGAGAAATGAACTTGCAAAATTAGTTGGTGTTTAACCGTATTAAACTAAATTGATAATTCAAATTAATGTATATTTAAACCGCTCGACTTTGCTAACACCTTTATAACATGTGATATCTTCCATTGTTCTGATCACCGTAACCAACATAACACGAGGTCTCTTTTCAACTCCAAAATAAGTATTTTTGTACTCGATATTTCTCATTTCATTCTTTATACACACTTCTTAAAACTCGCTTCAATTTTTCTTTTAGATTTGTCCACAGCTCGGATGTTCGCAAGGTCATTGTAAGTCATGAGTTCTCAAACCAAGACCAACCATCTGATGTCGGTTCAAGAGGATCAAACTTGTTTCAAGTTGGATTAAGAAACACCTTTGGATTCCTCTAGGATCGATGTTTTTTTATATCGAAACCTCTTTCTTCTCGAGATTTAAGTTCCCAACCACCTTCTCTCTTAATGAAGCAAACGTTCTACCATGCACAAATGTCGGGTTCTACGAGCCTCTCTAATGTCGAGCCAACAACTAATGTGGATATCGAGGGGCACCGTAGCTCATCCGATTTGCACCCCTCACCGTGGGCGAGGGGCACCGTAGCTTATCAACAAGCAACACCATTTTTCTGCTAGTATGAGTAAATTTGTGATTGATACTAATATTGTCGAAACCAACGAGATCATTCTAAATTTCGAGGGACCCTTCTAGTGTTGGATCAAAATGATCAATTTTACCTTGTGTGGGATCAAATAACATGTTCTTCCAGATGAGTTACAAGATCCCCCATAAGCTTCACTCGTAACGAAGCAAGTCATTTACAAGTTACATCCAACACGTAACATCGACTCTGGCGACGAGATTATTGCCTCTCGACCTATGAAGTAGTTTAAATGTTCAAGTGTCTCATAGACATTTTTTTTTTAAGTTAACTAGAAATTTATATTTTGCAAAAACTCACTTGGTTATTCTGAAACCAAGAATTACATCAAGACTATACACTAAAAAAAACTTCTTGCAAATGAAAAGGACAGAAATCATTGAGGTAATTAAGCGGGTGGTTCCAATTTTCCCATCAATTTTAACTTTTATGACTATTAACCACACAAATAAATTAACCCTTGAAAAAAACAGCTAAATTTTTTATTGGAAAAAGACGTAAAAAGTTGAAGGAAAAAAAACTCCGGTTCCCAGTTACCATTTCCCCCCCTCCGCTCCTTTCCTTCCCTGTCCAAATCAATTCTCCTCCCACAACCGCTTCTCCATACACTACTCCTTCTTCGTCCTCTCTATATATCACACCCAGAAAGAGAATCGTCTCCCAAAAAAACACACAACCAATCAACCAAAACAAAAAGCCCTCTTCGGCCCCCAGTCAGCTCCCCGGACCATCTCCGACCAGCCAGATCCAGTTTCCAGAAATGGGTTACCCGGCGAACGGCAACGGCCCATTCAAGTTCCTCATCTACGGCCGCACCGGCTGGATCGGCGGTCTCCTGGGCAAAATCTGCGAGTCTCAGGGCATCGATTACACCTACGGCTCCGGCCGGCTGGAGAACAGAACCTCCCTCGAGAACGACATCGACACCATCAAGCCCACCCACGTCTTCAATGCCGCCGGCGTCACCGGCCGCCCCAACGTCGACTGGTGCGAGTCCCATAAGGTCGAAACCATCCGGACCAATGTGGTCGGCACTCTGACGCTTGCCGATGTCTGCCGGGAGAAGGGCCTTGTCATGATTAACTACGCCACCGGCTGTATCTTCGAGTACGACGACAAGCACCCTCTCGGGTCCGGTATTGGGTTCAAGGAAGAGGACACTCCTAACTTCACCGGATCTTACTACTCTAAGACCAAAGCTATGGTAACAAATTCCACCGCTTCGTTTCTCTTTCCCCTGCTTAATGAGTATGCTCTGTTTACTGTCTAGCTCGAGAATGCGGATTTGGTATTTGGGGTTATGCTTTGGTTGAATGGGTTAATGGCGATGTGGGGTTTGATCCCATCTGGAGATTGGATCTAAAGGTTTCTTGTTGTGGATCTATTTGAAATTGCCGATCGAAGTTCGATAACTATAGTCGCTATGGATCATTACATATTTCTTGTGATTCCGTTTACCGGTTATTGATTAACTAATCATTTTGCCTTCAATTCAAAGCATTAGCTATTTCTTGCTCTCATGCCTGACCCATTAATTTAATGTTCATTGAGTAACTCTTTGATCATAGGCTCATCAAATGACCCGGGTATAGAAAGATAATGATTTCCGTTATTGCCAATTGAATGCATCTTGATGTGCTCTTCAAGGTCCTTCCCATACATCCATTTTGATTCATGGGTTCTTTCTATTGTTGTGACTTTAAAGGTGGAAGATCTTCTCAAGAACTACGAGAACGTCTGCACATTGCGAGTTAGAATGCCGATCTCATCTGATCTAGATAACCCGCGCAACTTCATCACGAAGATCGCTAGGTACGACAAGGTGGTGAACATTCCGAACTCGATGACCATCTTGGACGAACTTCTCCCCATTTCGATCGAGATGGCCAAGAGAAACCTGACCGGCATATGGAACTTCACCAACCCTGGAGTGGTGAGCCACAATGAAATCCTGGAAATGTACCGTGACTACATCAACCCTAATTTCACATGGAAGAACTTCACGCTCGAGGAGCAGGCGAAGGTGATCGTTGCCGCCAGGAGCAACAACGAGATGGACGGTGCGAAGTTGAAGAAGGAATTCCCGGAATTGTTGTCGATTAAGGAGTCGCTTATCAAGTACGTGTTCAAGCCAAACCAGAAGACTGCTGCTTGATGATATCTATCAGTAAAAAACCCCTGTAGTGCTTGAATTTTAGGGACAAAGTCTGCTGTGTGCTCATTTTACTTCTTTCTTTTTGCTGCCTGGTTTTTGTGTTGCTGATTAATTCATCCTCTGCTGTTTTGCATTATCTCTATCCAGGGGTGTAGAGGAACTGTCTCTTGAAATGAAATTTGCATATTGTTGTTGTGGCCTCTATTCATAATTGGAAAAGGGATGTTGTATTTGTAAACTCTATTATGAATAAATACTAGTTTGGAAATGTGAGTTACGAAGGAATGATTGAGAAACCATTCATTAGTAGTTTTGACTTCTTAGCTTGAGCTGAATCTCAAGTTCATATGTCTGTTTCTTTTTCATTTTTAGGGTTGTGGTTGGTATAACGTCCATTTCACATTCCTTTCTCTATTTGGAAGGCTCGAAGACAGCATTTTTACTGGTATTGTTTGATAACAGGAGCCTGCTTTTCTTCATCTGTATAGAGTGGAAATGGCATGGTTGCAACTAACTGGGGTTGTTTGGATGTGTGAATATTGAAATGAGTCGGACATTGAGATGATGTTAGAATGATAATTTGAAACTTCGTCCTTTTAACATCCATTTCTTCCACTCCAAGCAATGAAATTATCAGACCCTTCCAACAAAGAGTGGTCGAATTGAACTCCGTCCTGTCAGATTTTCGCGTTCAACCGATATGATGATAAGTTCTTTCTTCAAAAATCACAAATTTTTTAATTGAATAACATAATGGATACAACAAAGTATGGTACACCCCAGTTCTAAGCATTGTTCTGGGAAGAAAGTATTAAGCTTTGAGCAAACACGTTAATGTTTCTATCAGAACTTCCACCTTCACTAACAGCCTCCTGCATCAACTTTCTCCACTTCTCACCATTCTTCCTAATCTCTTCTCCTTTCTCTCCCTCCATGACTTGCCTCACACATCTCTCAATCTCTTCCCTCTTCACCACCCCGTTCTCACCTTCAGCTCTCACTCCCACTCCCCAAACATCCGTTATAAACTTAGCATTGGTCGTCTGGTCAGTCCACCGCGGCATGGCCACCATGGCCACTCCCAAGCTTAAAGCCTCCATCGTCGAATTCCACCCGCAATGCGTCACAAAACACCCCACGACCCCGCTCGCCAGCACCTCCAGCTGCGAACACCACGACACGATTAGCCCTTTCTCCGCGGTTTCGGACTTAAACCTCTGAGGAAGCTTGGCCTCTTCGGATTCCCTCACCACCCACAAGAAGTAATGGTTACTATTCTTCAACCCGAAACAGAGTTCCTCCATTTGCTCTGTTCCCAAATCGGCCATGCTTCCGAATGACACGTACACAACAGACCCTTTCGGCTTGGTACGAAGCCAATCATTGCAAGCTCCATTCTCCGGCTTGAAGAAGCTGACACCGTAGTCTTTCTCGCCGACCAATCGGTTGTCGGCATAAAACGACGGTATAGTCGGCCCAATTGTTTTGAAATTGGGCCAGAGCTTCGCAAGCAAATCCGCCGCCTCTGTTTCCAACTCGTAAACCGAATTGCAGAGAACCCAATCGGCGTTGTGAATATTGGAGAATTGACCCACGAGCGCGGCGAGGAAGGCCGGGTACGACGCGTCGTGCACGAAAGAAGGAAGATCTCGAGGCTTCAATGGCGGCAATCCAGGAATTGTTAGGGTTTCTGGGGTTTGGACGGGAGGATTGAGGAGACCGTGATGAACATGGTAGAAGATGGCGTCGACGGCGCATGATTGAGTGAAGAAGGCGACTCCGATGAGGCCGAAGGCTTTGGCGACGTCGAGACACCAAGGAAGGTGAGGGTCGTAGACGATGCAGTGAACAGGGTGGCCTGAATTCCTTTGTTGACGGACTAGATCGGCCAGGGTTTGGGAACCCACTCGCTGGAACGTGTCGAAGTAGGTCTGGCCGTCCTCGGCGGAAGCGATTCCGCCTTCGTCGTAGCCGTCGGAGATGGGGCGGAGATGGATGTCGCTCCCGGCGGCGACGGTGAGGGTGGCGGTGTTGGCGATGAATCGGGTCGGGGCGATGGTGACCCGGATTCGTTTGGGGATTAAGCGCTTGGAGAATTGGAGGACTGGGCTGATGTGCCCTTGCCCTGGAACCGGGACAACCAAACAGTGGGCTTTGTGGGCTGCTGTTGCTGATTCTGAGAATTCACTCTTCTGTTGCTCCGCCATTGTTGAGGAGCTCAAGCTAAAGAGTTAATTTCGTGATGGATCGTCCTTTCCTTCGGTATGATTATTTATACTGGATAAAGGTATTTTCATGTCTGCGGTTGAGGAAGTAGGGAGGAAAGCGCACTGAGCTTGGGCATCACGTATTCACGTCCATATTTAACTTTGTAGTCTGTAGATGTTGATTAAATACACTACGAATACAAAAAACAGTGAAGTCAGCAATTCCGTTGTAGTCTAGTTGGTCAGGATATTCGGCTCTCACCCGAAAGACCCGGGTTCAAGTCCCGGCAACGGAACATATTGTTTTTCTCGCCGTTCTTCCATTTGGTCTGGCAAAGGCCCATATTCTGTCGGAAGGTACGTACACGCGCATAAGTTATGGGCTGCGTTTGGTGCCGCAATCTTCTAACAAATCTTGCTTAGTCCATAGTTTTTTATCATCTTGTTTGTTCGGTGCCGCAATCTTCATTGTTGGGCTTCAAAATCCCCCTTTACTCAATCATCCAAATTCCATTCCTATCTTCCATTAAAAAAAAAAATCCATTCCTATCAAACAACATTCAGCTTTTGGGGAAGATCCATTCTCAGAAGCTTACCGATTTCAAACAAACTCAACTTAATTTCAATTCCTTTACAATCTTTTGATTCTTCAGTTGCATAAGGTAGAAGATCATACCAAAGAAGAAGAAAAAAAGCCAGGATATATTTGTTGGAACTTTTTGGACCTACGATAGCCCGAGACCCGATGACCAGGATTGTGATAGCCTGATACCGGGTGACCAGGATTGTGATAAAGTCGTGAACAACGTTTACTTTCCAAAATAATATTTCCACCCTCTACAAATAATGCAACCGCCACTAGGCCAAAAGGATGTGTCCCTTTATTGAATTAAAATACCGGTTCATCGGTCCAACCCAAAATCGATTTGGCTTGGTTAGTCCAGTTCAACCAAATTTCCAACAATATTGGCACCCTATGAACACAACTTCGCCAAAAACTCCAACTCTATCACTTTGTAGACTTGTGGTTAGATGTCTGAGCTTTACTGCCATTTATTTCTCACTTTCTTGATAGTTTTGTTAGGGGTGAATGATTTCTGTATGGTCTTTTGCCTATGTTCTTCATATTAGATTATTTATTTCATTACACCTTGCTTTGGTTATACAAAGAGGGATTCTAGTGAGAGAAAATTTTGATGTATTTTTTTTTCTTTCTATCGGGAATTCTTATATCGTTTGACCATAACCTTAACATTTTTAATCATTAAGGTGTTATAGCTAGTTTCTGATATAGCATGGTTTACATCTTTTTGTTTGCTTGTAGAATATTTATAAAAAAGAAATTAGATTAGATTATAACTGTTTAAACGTTATGCCTATACTTATTTAACAACACTTTTTGTAGTGTAGTTGGTTTGAATATTAGCATAAGTTTGTGATACATGCTATCAGTAGCACCAGTGGTCTAGTGGTAGAATAGTACCCTGCCACGGTACAGACCCGGGTTCGATTCCCGGCTGTCTGCATACAGAGTTGTGATGACTCCTTGCCAATGCGAAGTGGTCCTTTGCAATATTCCTGAATTCTGATGGAAACTTGGCAAAGCTGAGCTCTTTTTCTTTTTCTTTTTCCCCCCCACAAAACAAAAGAATAATTTTAGGATCTTATATACATTCCCTACCTGATTCAAGCAAGTTGACCTGCAGTCTGCAGATCAAAAGTAGCTGCAAGCAAAACCATCAATGTTGGAATAAGAACTCCCCACCTTCAGCTTCTCACTATTGCTCCTAATCTCAACCCCTCCATCACTAGGAGACATGCAATTCAATAATATCCTTGGCCAATCAATTCATAGATGTTCTTTTCTATAACCTGGGTTTTTGCTGCATGTTATTATAACATAGACAGGGCTGAAGAGGACTATTCATAAATATAGGTTATGTAATGTAAATAGTTAGGAGTAGTTATTGGTTAGTAAACATGTATTAAGTTCGGGTGTTTGATTGTAATTTTTTACAGTATCCGTTTAATTCTGTTACAACAGACTCTCTCGCTTTTTATTTTTGCCTCTCATTGACGACTTTCCTCTGTATATATATACAGTCACCAGGAGAAGAACTCATTGATAATTAACGCATTCTACAATCATCAATATATAATAAGATTAAGTTCACTCTTATGTTATGGTATAAGAGCACCTCAATGCTTTTAACTTTTCTCTTGCTTCCGAAATCACGATTTTCTTCTCTCTAATAATGACCTAGCTTAGAGCTACGTCCTGCTATGATGACCTCGTTCAATTCTCATACTTCTGTCAACGATGTCATCCCACCATTGGAAATTCCTCACACCGGAGGATCTCGTTACAACGTCGCGATGATCTCTTACACTACACTATCATTCAATTGAGTCAGTTTGTTGGGGGCTCCAACCACGATCCATGAGCAAGAAACCCACCAACTATTAAGATATCTTAAAACTACTCCAACAAAAGGGCTTATGATAAGGTTACTAACCAATGGTTACTGACATATAAGTAACTAAATCTGGACCTTTAGATCTAAGTGGGTCCAGAAAATTCAGATCTAAGGGTTGTCAATTAAAGACATTTTATTTTCTCTAGTTTTCTTAATCGGTTCTTATCTTCTTCATTCTAACTCAGATTTCAAGTTTTTTTTTTGCACAGACGGAACGAGTTTCTTGTGCTCAACAAAATGAGATCAATTTTCAATATATTTCGAGAAACTTTTTTTTTTTTACCAACTACATACCATATGGTAACTTCTTCGTTTTTAAGTCGTTTTTGAAAACGTTTACCAACTACTGGATCAAAAATTACCATACTTTACCACTATGGTATGTGGGTGGTAACTTGTAGTAAACAATGATGAAAGTCGTAAATGACAGTTAGTATAGTCCTACTATCATGTATTCAACCTTCTTACCATATTGGTATGTTCATACCATCATGGTACCCTTTCTTACCATATGGTATTAAATAGGACCATATGATATGATAATGACTGGTAAAAAATTATTCAATTTTTTTTGGTACTAAAAATATATCAAAGTGGATATCATTTTAAAGAGCACATTTAATCTGATTTATCTGTGCAAAAAATTAAATTTTGATTTAAAACGAGAGAGAAATCGTCCGTTAAAAATTAAAGGGAAAATATAAAAGACTTTCCAGGAGATAGAGGATACTGATGTCATACTGATGTGGACAGGTTACTCATGGTTACTCACCATAGAGTTACTGACCTGATCCGTTCCCCAACAAGAGACATTTTCTTTTCATCTCATACTAACATAAAACTAACTGTTTTTTCATACTCGGATTGGGTAGGATGTCCTGACACAAGTAGATCATTAACGAGCGATTGTACTTTCTTAGGTGATTCATAGGTGAGCTGGCATTTTCAGAAGCAACAAACAGTGTCCATATCCTCCACAAGAACCTGAATATAGAGGTCTAGCTGATAGTAAAAATTTAAAGTGGATATCATTTTAAAGAGCACATTTAATCTGATTTATCTGTGTAAAAAAATTAAATTTCGATTTAAAACGAGAGAGAAATCGTCCGTTAAAAATTAAATAAAAAATATAAAAGACTTTCCAGGAGAGAGAGAGAGGATACTGATGTCATACTGATGTGGAAAGGTTACTCATGGTTACTCACCATAGAGTTACTGACCTGATCCGTTCCCCAACAAGAGACATTTTCTTTTCATCTCATACTAACATAAAACTAACTGTTTTTTCATACTCAGATTGGGTAGGATGCCCTGACACAAGTAGATCATTAGCGAGCGATTGTACTTTCTTAGGTGATTCATTGGTGAGCTGGCATTTTCAGAAGCAACAAACAGTGTCCATATCCTCCACAAGAACCTGAATATAGAGGTCTGGCTGATAGTGTTTTAAGAATTCCATTGGATGAACATCCTCTTCAACAGGGGCGGAGCCAGGATTTCGAGATCGGGAGCCGAAAATAATTAAAAAAATGTATGTAGTCATGGTGGATTGAACCCGTGTGTTTTAAAACACAAGTCAAGCTTGACTAACAATAAACTACATAATTATTACACAACAAAATTTACGGAACAAATTCTACGTATAAAATTCGTACTAAATATCCTTACGATCCTAGGAGCTGGGACGATCCCCGGGGCCGGGGCCCACCCTAGCTTAAGTGTAGCTCCGCCCTTGCTCTTCAAGTAACTACATCTCCAACCTTAGCAGCCTACACCATAAACTGCGATAATATCTCAGCAGTCAAAATGACAGAATTCATTTCAGTAGTTAGCAATTACAAACATACACTAGCTTAGTTTGGCCCTGCGGTAGCTTTTGCAGAAGCAGCTTCTGGCTGGTGCTTTTAGATAAGTACTTTTCAAAAAAAGCATTTGAGTGTTTGACTGTAAAACTATTAGAAGTGATTTTTAATATGAGAGTTTGTGTAAAATGACTATAAAGGACTTATAATATAAATTAGGAATAAAAATTCTAAACAATAAAAAGTAGTCAAAATTGATCTTGTGAGATTTCTTTTATATTAAGTAATATGATTTATAATTTATTTTATTTTTAAAATGATATAAATGAAAGAAAATTATATTTTCTGAAATAAAATTAAAATATGGTAAGAATAATCTTGTATTTTCAAAACAGCTTTTCGCATAAGCTCAAAATCGGAGCTTCTGCTTTCATGTTATACAAAAGCGCTTTTTGCCTTTTTAAAAGCCGAGTTTTTAAAGGTGTTTGGCTCTGCTTCAACTTTTAAAGCCGAAAAACACTTCTAAAACCCAGGCCAAACATCGTCACTATCGTCACCATATCGTCACCGTGCAATCAAATAATAATAATACGATCGGCATTACAGTGACTCGATAAATACGAATAGTAGACAACAATAAATTAATAATGATCTACTAAATGACGTGATTTTTCTTTTCCCCACCTACAACGCAGGCTCACAACCATTAAGCCCACTCCCAAGCCCAATTTCATGCCCCTCCGAAAACTTTGTGTATCTGGAGTTTACTAAAGTTGAAGCTAATTCCTCGAGGCCCGAATCAAGCTATCAACAAACCCTCTCACATTTCTCTCAGAACTCCCACCTTCACCAACACCATCTTTCATCACCTTCTTCCACTTATCACCGTTTCTCCTAATCTCTTTCCCTTTCTCTCCTTCTTCCATCACTTCCCTCACGCATCTCTCAATCTCCTCCCTCTTCACCACCCCATTCCCACCATCTCCACCACCACTTCGAGCTCTCACTCCAACTCTCCACACATCTTCTACGTACTTAGCATTGGTAGCTTGGTCCGCCCACTGCGGCATCGCCACCATGGGCACTCCCAAGCTCACAGCCTCCAGCGTCGAGTTCCACCCACAATGCGTCACGAAACAACCCACGACGCCACTCGCCAGGACATGGAGCTGTTGACACCATGGCACAATCAGTCCTTTCTTCCCTGCTGATATGGTCGAGAAGCTGTCTAGGAGTACTTTGGCCTGTTCGGATTCTCTGACCACCCATAGGAAGTAGTGGTTGCTGTTTTTCAACCCGAAATAGAGCTCTTCCATTTGGGCTTGCGGTAGGCTTGCCATGCTGCCGAATGATACGTACACGACGGATCCTTTGGGCTTGTTTTGGAGCCAGTTCGTGGATGTTTCGTTGTTGGGCTGTTTGAAGATGTCCAGCCCGTAATCTGTGTCGGTTTGGCTGGTTAAGTAGGTGGATGGAATGGTCGGTCCGATGGCTGTGAAGGGCAGAAAATTTGATAGCCAATCCATTTCCTATGAGATGCATCGAAGAATTTTAACTCATGAGAAATATAACATGGAAAATTGAATCTAGTAGACAACATGGTATAGTTAAACAACAAGCCGTCTTAGCTCAGCTGGTAGAGCGCGTGGCTTTTAACCACGTGGTCGTGGGTTCGATTCCCACAGACGGCGTACTATGAAATTTTAATTTTTAATTCTCAACTAACACTAAAAAATCATAATTATTAGTTAATTAATTACACATTAATCTAGTTGTTATTGTTAAAAAAATTTTATAAAGGGGGAGAACTTTACTAACCTGTGGTTCCAGCTCATAAACAGTGTTGCAGAGGATCCAATCGGCCTTCTCAATACCACAAAACTGCCACACATGAAACCCCAGAAGCTCCGGATACGCCCCGCCGTCATCGCAGACGTCGGACGGAAAATCCTTGGCCTCCAACGGCGGCAACCCTTGAAAAACCATCAAAACCCCATCTTCCCCACTAACCGGCGGCTCGATCATCCCCTCCCGAACCCGGTAATAGATACTATCGACCGCACAAGATTGGGTAAAGAACTCCGCCGCCATGATCCCAAACGCTTTCGCTACATCGAGGCACCAGGGGATGTTAGAATCGTAAATAACGCAGTGTACAGAGTCCCCTGCTTCGCATAACCTCTGAATGACTTGAGCGAGCGTTTTGGACCCGACATCCATGAACGTGTCCACGTAGGATCTCCCGCCTTTCGCCGTCGCCACGCCGCCCTCGTCGTGGCCGTCGGAGATTGTCTCCAAGCCGATGTTGAGGGCGGCGAAGTTGAGGCGTTGACCGGCGGAGATTGATTTGGAGACGAATCGGGTGTTGGCCAGGGTGATTCGGATTCCTCTGGGGAGGAGGTGTTTGGAGAATTGGAGGATCGGGTTGATGTGGCCTTGGGCTGGGAATGGAACCACCAAACAGTGGGGCTTTTTTTGGGCCGGTTCTGAAAGTTGACTATGGTTCGCCATTGATTACTTTGCTTGATTTTGGTGGAATTAGCTTACGGTGATGCTCTGTTTTCGTGGGGTTTTATTGATTTGGAGGGTTGATTTTTTTTTTTCTCTATATCATGTTATGTGTTGCATTATCATTTGAAAATCGCCACTAGTCCACTAACACATTAATTAGTGAAGCTTTTATCGATCTCCAGCTGTCCACTAGTCCACTAGCAATAAACAAAAAAATGTATTCATTAATCGTCGTCGAGGGTCCATAAGCTGGTTTTTGCCCTTGGTCAATGGAAAAATAAAAACAAGAAGGGAGATTGGAATAGCGAAAGGGCTGGTGTTGGTGCACTGCCTTTTAGTACAATTTTGTTGTGATTGTGTAATCGAAGTATTGTTGTGACGATAGATGTACAATTAGAACACAATAACAATTAACAATGAAAAATATAAACAATATATAAAAAGTGAGGCTAGTGAAATTTATTCATAGACTCATTTGAATGAGCATACTGCTAAAACCGATAGAATTTTACAAGAAACAACTTTTGAAAACAACAAGAAAATTACTTGTTATTATTTAATTGTATTAAATTAATTTATGTTGGGTTTCCAACTTCTATTACCACAAAGAATATATGTTTAGTCTCCATTTTTACATGTAAAAAACTTAAAAAAAAAAACTAAAAACTCAGTAAACATGGCCTTCGAGAGATCCAATAAGAGGAAAAAAAAATTTTATTTTCACCTCAAATTGGGGACAACTTATACAATAATATCCTACCAAATAATCACTCTTTTATATTGTAGCAAAACTTATGAAACAAAACAAAAGTTATGAATCGCTCCAATTGTTTCCACCCTCTATTTTCTCTATTTCATGAGGGTTATAATTAGTGATATGCCAATTTGAACTCGTTCCGCGGGTATTATCCGACCTGCAGTAACGTGGGGCAGAGCATGAATATCTACTTCTGACCCGTCCTGCTCCGTCCCGTTCTTGATCCATTCTATCTCAATTTCTTACCGATTCTATATATATTTCTCCTATTTTGACTTTTCATCAATTAGTTAGAGTCGACCTTTCAACTTGTTTGACTCAACTACCCATTCTACATTACTATTTTTCTTTCATAGAATATTTTCCCCTTCATTTTGTTGTAAAAAGTGAAATTTGCGTGCATTTTTTCGTATAACATTTAAAAGTGGATTGACCAGCCCCGCCACATATCCGTACGAATTTTACCCACCTCGACCCATAATAGCATAAAGCGGAAAATAGACATTGAGGTACCCAGCCCGCACCACTCCATCCCATTTCCACCCAATCCTTTCTTTACTCCCCACCCCCAATATCCCATTTCTTCATCGTAATAGGCTGATTGCTTATACAGTTATACCCATTTCTTTCCTTCGATTTAATGAAAGCTGTATCCGACATGATTTGCTAACATACAGCCACGTGGTGTGAACCAAAGAATCTTGGATGCCAATAAAAAAAACAAACAAACTAAAACTAGCAGCACAACCACGACATGCACAGAGAAAATACCACTACCAGAGCCGCCAAGTTTGAGCCAAAGTTGAACATCCATCTCTTCATTGAACAACTGAATTATATCAGTCAAAAAGCTCATTATCTCTTTTATACTAATGCCGGCTCAATAGGATCACGTTTCTTTCCACTTTGTCCTTTTGCTACAATAAACTAACTTATCATCTCAACTTCACTGATCACATCCATCCATCAAAGTTGAATCAAACTAGCAGCAAATCTGCCGACGTTTCTATCAGAACTCCCACCTTCCTCCGCCGCTTCTTTCACCAGATTCCTCCACTTTTCACCGTTTCTTCTAATCTCTTCCCCTCTCCCTCCCTCCATCACTTCCCTCACACACCTCTCTATCTCCTCCCTCCTCACCACCCCGTCACCGCCACCTTCACGAGCTCTCACCCCAACTCCCCACTCGTCCTCTATGAACTTGGCATTGGTAGTCTGGTCCGACCATCGTGGCATTGCCACCATGGCCACACCCAGGCTCAGTGCCTCCAGCGTCGAGTTCCACCCACAGTGCGTCAGAAAACACCCCACAGCTCCCCTCGCCAGGACTCGGAGCTGCGGGCACCACGATACGATCAGTCCTTTCTCCATTGTGGAGAAGTCGTATGGAAGTTTGGCCTGTTCGGATTCCCTTACTACCCACAAGAAGTAATGGCCGCTGTTCTTCAACCCGAAACAGAGTTCTCTCAATTGCTCTGTTCCTAAATCGGCCAAGCTTCCGAAGGACACGTACACGACTGACCCTTTTGGCTTGTCACCTAGCCAATTCATGCAGATTTCGTTCATCGGCTTGAAGATGCTGAATCCGTAGTCTGTGTCGTTGGGGAATTGCTTGTCTAGGTACATTGATGGTATCGCTGGTCCCACCGTTATGAAGTTAGGCCATCTCCTTGTTAGCCAATCTACAGCCTGTAAGAAACTGTAATCAATGAATCACTATATTCAAACAGAAAACCCTCTCATCACAAAAGATTCTAATACTATGTTAAAAATCAATTGTTCTCAACAACTCGATTTGTTGGAACATGTAATAACATAATCTGACATTAATAATGGACCATCACTGTAGGATTGTTATTGATTACCTGTTGTTCCAGCTCGTATACTGTATTGCAGATGACCCAATCTGCCTTATCAAGATTAGAGAACTGTCCCTTGAACATCTCCAAAACGCCAGGGTTATCCCCTGTATCGTTGACGAAAGAGGGCAAGTCACGAGTCTCCAACGGCGGCAGCCAAGGAAGAGGAGTGCTTTCGATCAATCCGTCACGGACATGGTTGTAGATGGAATCGACCGCACAGGATTGGGTGAAGAAAGGAGCTGCCATGAGCCCGAAGCTCTTGGCGACGTCGAGGCACCAGGGGAGGCAAGAATCGTATACGACGCAGTGAACAGAGTCCCCTGCATCACTCTGTTTCTGAATGAGTTGGGTGAGGGTCAGGGTTCCGACTTGCCGGAAAGTGTCCGTGTAGGCTCCGAAGTTCGCCGCCTCCACCCCGCCATCGTCGTAGCCGTCGGAAATGGTGGCGATGCGGATGTCCGGTGGGGCGGCGGAGGTGATGGTGGCGGAGATGAAGCGGGTGAAGGCGAGGGTGATGCGAATGCCTTTGGGGATTAGGCGCTTGGAGAATTGGAGGATTGGGTTGATGTGGCCTTGTGCTGGAAATGGGACTACTAAGCAGTGTGCTGAGTTCGCCATTGATGGGTTTGTGGGGGATACGATGAGTTTGAGTAGATTATATAGAGTGCAATTGTTGATGGATACAAACACATTTTACTCTTGTAGAATTATCAACCGCAAAAAATCATGTTTTTTTTTTCTCTCCATCTAGTGATGACAAAATTTCACTAAAGATTAGATAAATTTAATTTTTGTCACAGTAGATCGCTGGGATGACAAAACTATCCACAAGTATTGATACCTCATCCGAATACAACCTGATTGGCTATGATAAATCCCAACTCGAAGAATTTTTCAAGGATATAGGTAAATCTTGAATTCCAATATTACGGGTAATGTGTTTACATAGTGTTTTGACTATCCAAGCTGAACATACCCAATTATTATACATATATAATAATGTGTTTTGTGTAGAAACAATCTTCATTTTTCTTAATATATTCGATTTTTATTATACATATATAACATTTTCATGATATTGTTTTCAACTACTTTTTTTCATTCTAGGCATTTATTTTCGTACTTTTCACTTACGTAATGTCATTATACGCGTGAATGTAAATATGCTAATTGAGTTTATAAAGAGAAATATTACTCATAAATAACCGTGAATACCAAAAACCCGATCAGTTATAATATAACTTTCATTTTGTACTTTGATTCTGATTATGAATAAAATACAAACAAGTTAGGATAGAATAATATATCTACACAATCCGATTATACCCGACCTCATCCGTTCTCATCCGTACAAATGTCAGATTTTGCTATTCAAAAAGTTGGGGCAATCAATCTTCTTAATTTTAGAAAGAAAAAAAAAATCCATATGGGTATGTCAGTACTCAGTACTCAGTACTAATTGTCTAAAACGATGGGTGGTTTTTATTTTCTAGTAAATTTCCCATTAAAAAAGTAGAGAGAATTTCAGCGAAATTTTGATGCCGAAGGGCAAGCTAACACAAAATGGCCAATAGCTAGTCCATTTAGTAGCTTACGGTGGGGAAATGATTGAATGGTTATGGATAGCGTCCAATTTATGTGTCTCGGCGTGAATTAGGGTTGTATAAAAAAACCATGAAATAATTGATATTAGATTATGCAATAAACTACACTTAATGGTTATAGGTTTTCATGAATTTGTAGCTTCTATCTATCTATCTATACTTAATATTATTGCTATTCAAAAGTAACTTCTTGCCACATAAGCACTTGGTGAATTCACAAGATGCCAAGGTGGATAATTTTTTTACAAACAAAAATTTATTTATTGATCTATTTATGGAGCTATCTCTCCCTTCTTTTAATACTTCTACTCATTTTCACTAAAACTTAAAATAAGTTACATTTTTTGTGAAACATTTAAACAAACAAACACACATAAGTAATAATCTTTTCTTCAATTAATAAACTATAAAGATGAAAATAGAGAGTGACATATATCGTATTTGTTTAACCAAAAAATATCTTAATAAATCTCATTAAGTAAATTTTATATTCATTTTTACTAAAACTTTATAATAAGTAACATTTTGATGGAAAAAAAACAATCACGCATCTGAATAATAATAATTTTTCAATTAAACAAAATTTAAACGATGGTCTAAGAGAAAATAATCGTTTGACAATCAACCGATTTTGAAAAATGAACTACATGACTGTATCTTTTTTGCTATCAAACACTAACTTCTTCCTAATGCATATACTTATAAAATAAAACAAGTATAATTTATATAGAAAAAGGTTTGGAGATAAACTTGACAGAGCAATAATTGTTATTTTTTAAAACACTTATTATTCATTTTGATTAAATGAAAACATATTAATTATGAACGCAACCTTTTAATTTATCTCTACCATTTTCCCATTTTTATTGTCTCTCTAGAAATGAATCCCAACTTTGAAAATCAGAATTTAGATAGAGAAGGAAATGGTAATGCATATGGAGTTTTTTTTACGAGAATAAGAGGAGTGAGGTACACGAGGCAACGATCAGATGGCAAAATTTTGAGCAGTTGAAACAAACATATTAGATCAACAAACATAAATATTAATATTTAGAATACTATAACGAATTATAAAATAACTAAATATAATGCACCGTCCAATGGGCGGGTAAAAAACTAGTTTATATTAAAGGCTTTATACTCCATAGTTATCTTATTATTTAATATTTGGGAAAAGTTGGAAATTTTGGGCTAAATAATGAATCATTTGAAAATGACTCATGAATTTTTTTCTTTTGCAAACTAGTTACGTAGTGCCAAAGGACACAGTTGACTTATTCATTACCAAATGTCTCAACCATATAGTATTCGTTGTTCAATAAGAAAAATTAGGAATCTCTTCATCCCGATCTTTTAAGTTTAACTATTCCACTTTGCTTTGCAGTGCCTAATAACTTTTTTTTTTTATAATCATAATTCATCCATGGTATCATCATTTAAGTTTGACTATGAAAATTCTACGTATACAATGACTTCACTCGCAGCCCGTATTAAATGGAATTCCAAATACACACTCCAAAATATAGGTAAAGAATTTTATGGTTTTGCTTTGGTCCTAATTCCTAGTCCTTAGCCCATTTAAATTGGTCGTATTTGCAACAATCCACGAATATTGAATATTGTTCTTTTTCTTTATATTGTTTCATCTGACAATTTCACTGGATCTCATATTGTATTTTATTACTAAAAAAGTTCATCACGTTATGAGCCAGATTAATGATTCGAATTTAATTATATAAATCTAATGCTTTGTTTTTTTTAACTATTCAATATAGATACAAAACCAATTCCATCTTTTCCCCTCATTAAAGTATCTTCCCTAACCAATAGTTGGAATCTGAATCCAAATCTGGTACCCTACCCATTCCAGTAGACCATGTTGACTGTTTACCCCAAAAAAGTAAGAGAATAGGTTTTTTTTTTTTGGGTAGAATAAGAGATTATGTTGACCGATGAGCTAAACGCGACGATTTACATATTCAAATTTCATTTTATATGGCATGACAAAGTGGTGTTTCTTGTCACAATCGTAATTATTAGAAGTTTGAACTGTACTGTCCTTCCTTTTCAAAAATATGCGATAAAGATAATATAAAATCAGCAGCAAGAAACCTCTGTTACTCTCTTCCCATTTACGAGTGACCTGAATAGCAGAATAAACAGAACAAACATGAGTAGGAAAAAAAATCCAGGCGATTTCTTCAATCAATAAGCTAATCTTATTATCATGATTAATAGGGAGTCAAATATTACAAATATAATAAAACAATTCTCTTATCATATCAATCACACAAATTGGAAATTAGGTCATGTTTATTTCACATAAATTAACTTAATAGGTGGAAGTAAAAATAACTCCCCGACATCCTCAGAAATTTATTTATGGGGATAATTTTATCTTAGAGTCACTGCATTATCAAATATAGAAGAATAATAGCTTGCCTAAGTGCTGCTTTACATAGCTTCCAGAGTGCACAGTAATCACACTTCCAATGGTAATAAAACTGCTCTCAACTTCAGCCTACAACTATGCTATGTTTTGATTTTTCCATATTACAAAAGAACACAACAACACAACAATCTCTAACTCTTCAAAACTTGATTGATCAAGCTTCCAGCAAACTGACTGATACATCTATCAGAACTCCCACCTTCACTGACAGCATCTTTCATCACATTCTTCCACTTGTCACCATTTCTCCTAATCTCCACCCCTTTCTCTCCTTCCATCACTTCCTTCACACATCTCTCTACCTCTTCCCTCATCACCAACCCATTCTCACCATCTTCAGCTCTCACTCCCATCCCCCAAACGTCCCTTGTGAACTTGGCATTGGTGGGTTGGTCAGTCCACTGCGGCATTGCCACCATGGGCACTCCCAGGCTCAAACCTTCCAGCGTCGAATTCCATCCGCAATGCGTCACGAAACACCCCACGGCTCCACTCGCAAGAACTTCCAGCTGCGAGCACCACGACACGATCAAACCTTTCTCCGGATTGAAGCAGTAGTTCTTGGGGAGCTTGGCCTCTTCGGTCTTCCTCACCACCCACAGGAAGTAATGGCCGCTGTTGTTCAATCCCCAAAAGAGCTCTTCCATTTGGGCCGAGCCCAGACTCGCTAGGCTGCCGAACGATACGTAAACGACTGACCCATTGGGCTTGTTCCCGAGCCAGTTCATGCAGAGCTCGTTGCTGGGCTTGAAGATGCTGAACCCGTAGTCCACGTCGGCTTTCAATCGCTTGTCCAAGTACATTGACGGTACGGTTGGGCCGATTGTCGTGAACTTCGGTAACCTTTTTGACAGCCAATCTGCAGCCTGCATAATGAAGTTAATTTTTCAATTACAATTTAAAAAAAAAAAACGAACAAGACGCTTAAATCGAAAAAGTTACTGGTTTATGATTCGACAGTTAATTCTTATGGAATTATTTGTCAACTTTTGGTAGAATCTAGGGCTGGTAATCGGTCGGTTTCCGGTATACCGGATACCGATTAGCCGGTATTCGGTATACCGGAACCAGACAGTGTACCCACCGAATACCGATACCGAATGTTATCCGGTATACCGAATACCGTATAGTCGGTATCCGGTATTAATACCGGTATACCGAATACCGGTTAATGCATTGAGATTATGTTTTCGAGCCGATATACCGACTTAATACCGATACTGAGTGGGCTGATTTGGGCTTTTTGTTCTTTTTATTTTTCTGAATGTTGTTTAATTAAATGATGTAAATAATTTTGTTTGTTTATTAATTATTACTATATTATATTGCTATCGTCTAGCAAGTTTTATTAATCAACAATTCACTATTAATTAATAGTAATTAGTAATTAGTTAATTAGATGTTTATCTAATAGAATTGCAACTCAACCCATCCTATTTCTCCTGTAACTCAGAAATTTCTTCCGTGAAAACTATACTGAGTCAGCATTACCGAAGGGGATTCAAAATCATTGCATGAACAAGAAGCATCAATTCTATGAGAGAGAGCCATTCAATTCCGCCACGGCCTTTTCACAGATGCAGCACTGACAAGGATTTCATCATGCAGGAAGAAGCATCTAGCTCATGACCGACGTGACTCCTCGAGACATGCCTCCAGCTGGTTGTCCCTGAACCAGAGATATCACACATGGTCGAGAAATCCAACAACTGACCGAATATCTTGAACATCTCGATCCCATATATCTGCCCTCTGTCAGCTACAAACACGGCATTCCAATCCATCGGAGCATCTGGATGAACCGAGACTTCACTCCAGTTCATGTAAACAAGATCAAGCTCCCACATTTTTCTAACAGCCTTGTTCCTCTCCCCGATTCGGCCATCCCCTTCGCACCATGAGACGGAGAGCATGAATAGTCGGCCATTGGATGCCACAAGCTTAGGGTAGTGCTCAAGAACTCGAGGAGGGAAGGGGGGAGTTTGGATTCCCATCCAGAATCTCCTTTCTTGTCATACCCCATCAGCTTGTCGATCTCGGTAGAAGATCCCTTTGCAGACAACTCCGGAACTAACTGCTCCAAAATCCACAGGCAGCCTTTGAATCTCTGACCATTTGTTATAAATTAATCGGTATTCGGTATATAACTAATCGGTATTCGGTATACCGACTGGCCAAGAAGTGCAGCCGAATACCGACACCGTCGGTATTCGGTATACCGAATACCGATTGTAACCGGTTCGGTACCCGGTTATACCGAATACCGATTTACCGAATACCCGCCCTAGTAGAATCTTTCATTCGCTATTACTTAAATAATACACTAATTTAGAACTGAGTTTATCGCTAACCATAAACAATTTCAAATCAATATCATCCATCACCAAAATTTCTAAGAAATCATTCAAACTATCTATAAAAATAATTTTTTTATTAAATTCAAGTTTGTAATTACTAATTAGGGTGAATATACCAGTCAATCAAAAGTGGTCTTAATTTACGTTAAATTATATTTTTTTAAATGATAAACCAGTTATAAAAGAGTGATCATCTAATTCATGTCGAATCGTTAAAAATCATTTGTTTCATCCTAAACCGACCAAACAAATAAACTAAATCATTAGTATAACTCATTTTACAGTTCTATCTAATCTAACCACAAATCCAATTCGATTCTTATAACAACGCCTATATCATCAAAGCCTAATTTTCTCGTTTGCGAAATTGTAAAATTACCTCATTTTCCAGCTCGTAAACCGAATTACAGAAAACCCAATCGGCCTCGTCGATATTCGAGAACTGCCCCACAAGCGCACCGAAAATGGCAGGGTACGTCCCAAATTTCGACACAAGAGACGGCAAGTCTTCAGACTTCAACGGCGGCAAACCAGGAAGAGCCCTCAAAATCCCCTGCTCCGTCACCGGCGGCCGGATCAACCCCTGATAAACATGGTTGTAAATGGCATCGACCGCACAGGATTGGGTCAAGAACGCGGCTCCCACCAGTCCAAACTTCTTGGCAACGTCAAGACACCACGGGATGCAATGATCGTATACGACGCAGTGCACAGGTTCCCCTGCATCGCTCTGTTTCTCAATGAGTCGAGACAGAGCACCGGAGCCCACTTCCCGAAACGTGTCCAGGTAGACGCGGGTGTTCTCCGCCGCCTCCATCCCACCGTCGTCGAAGCCGTCGGAGATTGATTCGAGGCAGACGTTGAATTCCCCCTCACGGGCCGCGGTGATGGATTTGGAGACGAAACGGGTCAGGACCAGGGTGACCCGGATCCGTTTGGAGATGAGGCGCTTGGAGAATTGGAGCATTGGGTTGATGTGCCCTGTGGCTGGCAATGGAACCACCAAGCAGTGTGGTGGTGTATCGTGAATGGGTTCACCTGATGAATTCCTTTGCTGGCTCACCATTTCTTTGTTGTTGTTGCTGCTTTGATGGGAAGAAGAGTTGGAAATGTGTTGGGAGCAATTTTTTTTTTTAATGGGAATTGAATTTTGTGGGTTGCGTAGGCTGTTGCTGGATTCTTTGGTAAGGATGTTATGGCTGACATTATATTGCTTCCAACAATATTGATTGCCTAAACTTGGCATCAAATCCGGTACATTTTCCTAATACTAGCTTACTACAAATGGAGATTAGTCTAATTAGGCCCAATTTTTTGTTATTTTTTTTAACATAGCAATTTTGTTATTGATATGAATTGTTAGAATCCAACTTTTGTTAATCTGATACAGAACTAGATCGGTTAAAAAGTGAATTCGGGTTGTTACGCGAACTGAACCGGTTTTACCTTGTTACAACTAAAAAAAATATTCAGAAGAACTTTAAAATAAAAAGGCATAATCAAACTGTTAGTAAATCATATAAAGTTCATAATTAAACTTCTCCCAACAACCCATGATTCCTGCCATCTGCAAGTTACACTCAAATAAACCACAACATCGCCTAGACAACATATACATATATATGTCAACAAACCTTTGCGAACAACTTGTTGCACTATCTCCCTTCAACACTTTTTTTACTTGGATAGTTATATAATCTTGGTCATTAAGCAAGGTAATTGTTCTACACTTTTTATTTGGTATATAGCTTGTTAAATGGGTCATAAATGGAGACCTTGCTTTTGCTAATTTGAATTGAAGGTTGATATAAAAATCAGTTTATTTCAATGTCCATAGTTAGAACATTCATCTTAGTTAGAAGTTTCACTTTCGTATCAAGATCAATCGATATCATCACTACTAGCATCAATATCGTCACTACCAGCATCAATATCGTCAGTATCGCAGCCGGCTTCCCTGGATACGGGGCCGACTTGGCCCGTCGCCGAGTGGGGTTTGGACTTTGGAGTAATTAAGGTGCCGATCGAGTGACCAGCTGGAGCACTAGCTTGCTTGGTGTCTTGTGTTGCTGTAGGAAGCAACGCACGTGGGATTAAGCGCATCAACGCTGCTATTATTATTGCATCCCACAAAGTACGTAGGTTACGTGTAGGAGGATGATGATCCCAATTCCCAGCTCCACATCTTCTCGGCCAGAACAACAAAGTCGATGCAGTGGAAGCCATTATATTGCCTTTTTTGCTTTTGTGTTTGCTACTTAGTATTCTACTGAGTTGATTAACTAAGGGGATGATGACGACGACGAAATTTTGGTTCCCCTTTTAAAGAGTGTAACTGTTGTTGATTCATCCGTTATATTATTAACCGATTAATTTCTTTTCGTTGTCTAAGTAGTAGGGAGATTGTCTGGGCATAAACTTAGGTTGCATAACGTAGCCTCTGGACCATTTTAATGGATTAGATTAAGTGATTTGTATTAATTTCCTTACACCCTCTTTTATCCATTTCAAATATTTTAGGAAAAGGGTTATAACTAACACTATACATTAATCCGCCATTTTTTGTGCAATGAATAAAACGTTGAGCGACTCTCTGATTAACTTGTACTCCTGGTTTAACTCTGCTCCTTAGAATAAAAACGTTGATAAAGGTTTGCTCAGCCATTAGCCTTCTTGCTGAACCGGAGTTTGTAGAAGACGATGATATGATGAATCCATATATAGTTGGGCCATTCGTAGTGAGGTTGAGTTACTGGGAAAAAAAAATCTCAATTTTTCTGATTACCATATTAGTTAATTAATTGCTAATCAAATTCTCGTGATGATATTTAATTTATTTTTAAACGGATTATATGGGGACCATTTCCTCTAAAATCTAAATCTTCAACCAAAACGTTATTAGTTAATACTGAAAGAATAAATCGAAAAGGAAGTGATCGAGTGGCACAAGTAGGGGTGTCAGTTAGGGTCGGGTTCGGTTACCCAAACCAAAACTCGAAAAAAACCCGAAACCGAAATAAATGGAAATCGAACCCGATAATGACTTCCTGTTTCTGGTTACCCAAAACCCGAAATTCCTTATCGGGTTTGGGTTCGGTTAAAGCAAAACCGAAACCCGAAAACCTGAATGCATAAGAATACAAGCTGAGTTCTATTCCTTGGAGGTTTTCAAACGAAACCCGAAAACCCGATAAGCAAAGCCGAACCCAAAACCAAAAAACCTGAAACCCGAATCCGAATGGACACCCCTAAGCACAAAGATAAACCATTATTATCATAGCTCAAATTATTCAACACAAACTAACCGGTTTCCGCTTAGGGAAACAACAAGCTGCAGAACGTTAAGGGGAAAAAGGCTAACAAAAAAAAAAAAAGCACCAGAGACCCAAAACCAAAAGAGAGAGAGAGACGTATAGCAGCAAGCCAACCACCATGCATGCATCGACGGATCTATATATTTACGCGGGGCGGAAGCTCATTTTGCAGTTCTTGGTGCCTACTCCGGTGGACTTACCGACCGCCTTGCCCTTGCAATCTACGGCGAGCTGGACTGTGGCGACGCCAAGACAACCTGTGCAGTCGTCTATGTTCTTGGTCTGGCAGCTGGCCTTCCCCTTAACAGACCCGACCGTTTTCGTGGCCGGCTTGTTTGGCTTGGCCAATTGCTGCAGATCTTTCACCAGCTGGCTCACGTCGCTGCTGTACGCTTGGTTCACTTTGCGCCCGCTGCACTTGGCGGGCTTCGTCTCTTCCACGCCATAAGTACTGCTCCACAGAATTGCGACTAACATGATCATGGCGATCCCATATTTTGCGCAGGAAGAAGATGAAGAAGAAGAAGAAGCCATGGATATTGTATTGAGTGTTTTTTTTGTTTGTGTGTATGTGTGTGGGTTGATGGATGAGGGAAGTGAAGATGTTTTGGTCTTCTTTTAAGGAGGGTAGATTTACCCGTCGTCGAGTGTTATAGTTGGTTAAGCTTTTCTTTCTTCTTTTTTTTTTTGTTTTGTTGTTGTTGTTGTTGGCCGAATGGCCGGCGGTCAAGCAATAATGGATCTCGGTCCATTCTAATCGGCCGGATAATCGGCTCATTGATTCCTACGTTCATTTTTTAGTGGTTTTTAAGGGAAGTACGTCTCCACAACACTTTTCTTTTTAGCCTTCTCCAATTTTTAGCTACAATATATTTCTTTTAGTAAGGGGAGTATGCATAACGGATGTGTGTTCACACTTATTATTTGTATTTTGGTATATTCGAATTAAAACAGTGACTCGGTTAATATTTTTAGATTAAATGGATTTTATGAGTTGGGTTAGAAAATTATAGACATGTGTTCATCTATTAAATGTTAGGGTATAGTATCTTGTCTCAAACTACCAACTCTAAATATACAAAGTAAGTGAGAGATTCTTTTAGTAAGGTTGTGCATTGCGATGGTTCCTTTGTTTCAGATAATGCACAGGTGGAGGCTTATGGGATTGCTATTGCTAACTCCCACGGTCGGGTAATCGACGAAATGGCTGAGAGATTCTTTTGTTCATTTTCGATTCAAGTGGAAGCATTTGCGATTCTTAATGCAGTTATCTTGGCTGCCCAGGATCCAGTCCCAATGTATATCAGGGTCCGATAGTCAGCGGTTGACGGTTGCGTTGAGAAAGGATTCGAGCCTTTCGCTCTGGCAATGTCGGGCTTCACTTGCCCGGGTTGTTTCCAGTCTATGTGTCTTTCCTTAGATTTCGTTTGAGTTTGTTCCCCATCGGTTCAATGTCTTGGCTAATTGGATTGCGAAGAACTCTCGTCTCAATCTCCTTCCTCCTGAATGGATTGTCATTGTCGATTTTATTGCTCCATTATTGTAATCGTAATGCTTCCACTTTTGTGAGTTTGGAATGAAATGATTTTGATGTTGTAAAAAAAAATATTCACGATAGCAACCTTTTAAAAGGTGGCCAGAGCCAGGGGCGGACCCAGGGGGTTTTAGGGGTGTCCCCGGACACCCCTAAATTTTGGGAATACGATTATCCAACCCCGGTGGTAATTTACGTATGGACAAAAAAAAAATATAATTGATAGTTAGGGACACCCCTTAAATTTGAAAACATGATTATCCTACTGTCATTTGCGTATAGGAATATAAGTGGTAGATTGGTTAATTCAAATCTAGAACACTATTCTTATTAATAAACTTAATTTTCGTTGACCTACAACTCATTTGTTGTTCGATTTTGAAAAATGTAATAGTAAAATGTCATTTTCTATCTCTAATTATTTTAAAAACCTAACAATTAAACTAATTTCAAACTGCCATTAATACGGCAAGTGTTGAAAGAGTCTTTCAGCTTTGGGTTACATCGAGAACAAGTTTACAAATCGAATATGCGATAAGTTCGTGAATGATTGTCTAGTAGGGTATATAGAGACAATTTTTTAACACTATAGACACCAAGTGTATTCTACAATTATTTCCTAATATGAAAACAAATCATGGACTTTTTTAACCTGTACGAGTAAGATATTTTCAAATTTACAATTTTATTTTTAATAATTATTAATTATTTTTATTTAATTTATTTTTAAAAGAGGACACCCCTATGAAAAATTTCTGGGTCCACCACTGGCCAGAGCAACTCATTCCCATACATTTTAACCAATGCTTAATTTCTTACACGGAGGACTCTCTGGTTAACTTGTACTCATAGTTTAACTCGGTTTAGGATGAGAACGAATCAGGTCAGTAACCTTATGGTGAGTAACCATGAGTAACCAGCCCACATCAGCATGACATCAACATCTCTCTCTCTTCTGGAAAGTCTTTAATTTTCCCCTTCTTAATCTTTGACGGACGATTTCTCACTCGTTTAAGTCGAAGTTTAATTATTTTTTTTGCACAGTTAGATCAGATTAATTGTGCTCTTTAAAATGATATCCGCTTTGATATATTTTTCGAACAAAAAAAATTGAGTCATTTTTTACCAGTCTATACCATATGGTATTGACTGGTATTGAAATAAGAACATACTTATGGTTTGAAAAGTGTACCATGGTGGTATGAACCAAGACTGTAGGATGGTTGAATACATGATAGTAGAAGTATATTAATTGTCATTTACGACTTTTATCATTGTGTACCACAAGATACCACCCCGTACTAGGGTGGTATTGTATGGTATTGAAAAGCGTACCATGGTGGTATGAACAAACCAAGACTGTAGGATGGTTGAATACATGATAGTAGAAGTATATTAACTGTCATTTACGACTTTTATCATTGTGTACCACAAGATACCACCCCGTACCAGGGTCGTATTGTATGGTATTGTGTGGTATTTTTTGGTCATGTAATTTGTTCACCCATAAATTTGTAGATCCAATAGATCATGATGAACTCGTCTCTTCTGTGCAAATGTTTTAAAAAACGAATTAAAAACGAAGAAAATATCATATGGTATGCAGTTGGTACCGAGAGGCCATAATTTTTTTTTCTCAAAAAATATTGAAAATTGTTCACATTTGGTAGAGCACGATGAACTCGTTCCATCTGTGCAAAAAAAATTAAAAACCGAGTTAAAACGAAAAAGATATGAGTCGATTAAGAAAGTAAGGGAAAATAAAAATGGTCTTTAATCCTCCATCTTTAGATCTGGATTTTCTAAATGAAGGGCCCAGATTTGGTTATTGATTGATGCATAACCCATGGTTATGCACCCTATCTTGAGCCCTTTAGGATAGGGTTAGTAACCATTGGTTACTGGCATATGAGTAACTAAATATGGACCTTTAGATCTAAGTGGGTCCAGAAAATTCAGATCTAAGAGTTGTCAATTAAAGACATTTTATTTTTCCTAGTTTTCTTAATCGACTCTTATCTTCTTCGTTCTAACTTGGATTTCAATTTTTTTTTGCACAAATAGAACGAGTTCGTTGTGCTCTACAAAATGAGATCAATTTTCAGTATATTTCGAGATTTTTTTTTACCAACTACATACCATATGGTAACTTCTTCGTTTTTAAATCGTTTTTGAAGGCGTTGCTAAGAAGGAATGAGTTCATCATGATCTATTTGATCTATAAATTTATGGGTGAAAAAAATACTGTATAAATAATTACTATACTTTACCACTATGGTATGTGGGTGGTAACTTGTGGTAACTTATAGTAAACAATGATGAAAGTCTTAATTGACAGTTAGTATACTCCTACTATCATGTATTTAACCTTCTTACCATATTGGTATGTTCATACCATCATGGTACACTTTTTTACCATATGGTATTAAGTAGGAGCATACCATAAGGTAATGACTGGTAAAAAATTATTCAATTTTTTGTACTAAAAATATATCAAAGTGGATATCATTTTAAAGAGCACATTTAATCTGATTTATCTGTGCAAAAAAAATTAAATTTTAACTTAAAACGAGAGAGAAATCGTCCGTTAAAAATTAAAGAAAAATAGATAAAAGACTTTTCAAGAGAGAGAGGATACTGATGTCATGCTGATATGGACATGTTACTCATGGTTACTGACTTGATCCGTTCCCGCTTAACTCGCTCATTGAATAAAACATTGATAAAGGTCATACCAATTGGCTGTTTATCCCCTTTAACCGTCAGGTTTCCGTTTAAAATTGAAATGGCTGTTTTTTTTTTTTTTGGCAAAATACACTTGTATAGCCAAAACTTTGACGGTTTGGCCAAATATAGCCACTTTTGACGAAATACCAAAAATAGCCACTTCCGTCCAATTGTTTGACGGTGTTAGTTAACGTCCTGACTGGACTAACAGATCGTCCAACGTGGCGATTTTTGACCTGTACGTATTTCCTACGTGGATTTAATAATAAAAAACAATAATTAAAATTTTATATTTTCAAATAGTTGGTCTTTTGATTTATGGAAAATAAAAACAAATACTATACATAAAATAAAAAAGCTTCTCTCCTTCCAACCTACCCACTCTCCTGATTTCCCTCCGCCCTTTCTCCACATCCATCACCGGCAAACAACCAGGGCATTTTACATCTCCACAGCGCCATTTTCACACTACCACTGAAGCACTCATTCCGGAAAAATCAGATGGTCACCGACGGTATAGTTGTTGCTACCCCTTTACTCGAAGACCACGACATCGTTCCTGGCTCCGTTGACCACCGCGGCCGCGGGATCCACAATCGCTCCCCTCTTTCAGCGGATGGAGATCTTCGGCTTTCATAATCGATAGAAGATTTCCCTTTTTATTGTTTCTCCTCTGCGTTTTCTGATTTTGGAACGATTTAGATGCCAATACTCCGCTGCACCACCGACCTCGTCCCTTCAGTTTAGGGGTTTTGGATGAACTAGAGAACTCGATTTGGGGTTCTTCTTCCGCCTCAATCCAATGAATCCATCCGTCTCTTCCAAATGAAAAACCCAGAACAAGCAAAAACAACCCAGAATCGCAGCTCCACTGTCGATCGATGGTCATGGTGGCGATGGTGACGATGGCAAGGATTTGGGGATTAGGGATTTGGTGGCGATGGTGATGACAACACCCACATCCTTCCTTCTGGGTGTTGAAATTTGACCCAAATCGACTAAATACAGGATCCTACCACTTGGGAAAGATGTCGCCGGTCGTCGATGCGGGTGGATATCCCCCGCCGTCGCCTTCTCTATCTTCTTCTCTGGCGGTCCTGATAGGCTGCACTTGAGATATCCGGCAGAGAACGATGGAGAGCGAGAAGCTCGAAGAGGAAGAGGAAGATAAATATTGATTGGTTATTTGATCTAGAGTAGGGATTTGGGGGAGAGAATTTGGGGAGGAATTGAAAAAAATAATTGAGAAGAAGGGGGTGCTCTGCTGGCTGCGTAGAGAGAAGAGAGGGACGTGGGATAATTTTTTTTTTTAGTTTTCTTAAATAAATAAAAATTAGTTCAGATAAAAAAGATTATTTGAAAACAAATATTTTTTTCATTTATCCACATGGAATTGTTGAAAGATAAATCAAAATGATGTGGCAATGATATTGATGACTTGTCGCTGACGTGTGTGATGATTTGGCATCCTAGTCAGTTTAACGTTAACTTAACTGACGGAGTTTCTAACACCGTTAAAGTTTGTAACGGAAATGGCTATATTTGTTGGGAAACTTTCAAATTTCTGGCTATTATTGGTATTTCCCCAAAAGTGGCTATTATTGTCACAAACATCAAAGTTTTGGCTATACAAATGAATTTTGCCTTTTTTTTCGATTAATGGTTTGCTTAACCGAACCGAAATCCCCCTGGTCTGACCTGGTTGTAGTATATTCGTGATAAATTTAGTTCTTGGCCTACAGCATGGTAGTTAGTTGGGTCAAAAGAACTTTTCCGGTTGATCTGCGCTTAGACTTGCCATTTGCCAAGAAGATGATGCCTTTCGTCCGGATTTTAGAAGGGTTTTTCATTTTTAAAAGTTAATGAAACAATGCCAAACACTTATAAAAGTTCTGTTTTTGAAAAAACTGAAAAGTATTTTTGTATAACAATTGGAGCTTCTGCGAAAAACTGTTTTGAAAATACAAAATTATTCTTAACATTTTTTATTTTATTTCAGGAAATATAATTTTATTTAATTTATATAATTCAAAAAATAAAATAAATTATAAAATTACATGATTTAATATAAAAGAAATCTAACAAGAACCATTTTAACTACTTTTTATTGTTTAGAACTTTTATTCAACGACGAAATGTTAGAGCAATTTGTGGTGTTACTATGGATGATGGGGAATGAGAGGAACAATCAATTGGTCAACCGGAAGAAGGCAGAAGAATGGGAAATTGTCGGGAAGGCCCTAGCCTACTGGGAGGAGTACGCATCATACCATAGGCAGGAGGAACATATGAGAGGGGCAGAGGCGATTACCTGGAAGCGGCCGCCGATTGGGTGGGTGAAGGTGAACGTGGATGCGACAGTGATAGCAGGTCAGGGCACGAGATTTGGGATGGTCCTGTGAGATGAGAAGGGAGGCTTCCTTCGGGCAGCAGTGCGGCGGGAGCGACGATGTTGACCACCAGAAATTGCGGAAATGAAAGCTGTGGAGTTTGGGCTGAAGCAGCTGGAAATGAGTGGTTTTCGTCGGGTGATGGTGGAGACGGACTGCCAGCAGGTGGAGACCGCGCTTCAGAAGACTGAGTGCTCGAGGCTGGAGACGGGTTTGGTGATTAAGGAATTGCAGGCCGAGGCCCAAAGAATTGGGTTGATTAATTGGAGTTTTGTCAAACGGGCTGGTAATGAACCGGCCCTTATTATGGCCCATTCTCTTTGTAACTGGGAGACCCAAGAAGTTTGGGACTCTAGACCTCATATTTTCCTCCTAGACATTTTGGCTAAGGAAATGGCAAGCTATTAATAAAATTCCAGGATTTGATTATAAAAAAAACACTTCTAATAGTTTTTCAGCCAAACATTCAATTATTTTTTAAGTGCTTCTATTAAAGCTCCAGTCAGAAGTTGTTTCTGCAAAAACTACATGAGGACCAAACTAATCCGATCCATCGGGGCTTCTTACCGAGTCAGAGTTTGTTGAAGTTAATTACTGTAAAAATCTCAATTTAACTTTTTTCTCACTACCGTGGTATTTTTTTTTAAGATACTACCACATTAATTAATTGGTAATCAAATTATAGTGATGATATTTAGTTTATTTAAAGTGGATACCGATGTGGTCTAATCTTCAACCAAAACGTGATACTGAAACTATAAATCGAGAAGAAACAAAGTGATCGAGTAACACCCACAACATAACTATTAATTAATTATTATATTATAGCTTATTCTTTTGCTAGGTTGGCGTCGAATTATTCAACACTGACGAACTAAGCTGCGTATACTACCGGTTTCCGCTGAGGGAAACAAGAAGCAGAACATTAAGAGAAACGAGTAACAGACAGAAAGAAAGGAAAGAACACAAGACCCAAAAGAGAGAGACGTATAGCCTAACAAGCTAGCCAACCGCGACCCATCTCATCATCGTGACCAGACCACCATGCATGCAACGGATTAACTATTTATTTATGCTGGACGGAAGCTCATTTTGCAGTTCTTGGTGCCTACTCCGGTGGACTTGCCGACCGCCTTGCCCTTGCAATCTACGGCGAGCTGGACTGTGGCGACGCCAAGACAACCTGTGCAGTCGTCTATGTTCTTGGTCTGGCAGCTGGCCGTCCCCGTAACAGACCCGACCGTTTTCGTGGCCGGCTTGTTTGGCTTGGCCAATTGCTGCAGATCTTTCACCAGCTGGCTCACGTCGCTGCTGTATGCTTCGTTCACTCTACGCCCGCTGCACTTGGCGGGCTTCGTCTCTTCCACGCCATAAGTACTGCTCCACAGAATTGCGACTAACATGATCATCGCGATCCCATATTTTGCGCAGGAAGAAGCAGCCATGGGTATTGTACTGATTTTGATTTTTTTTGTGTGTATGTGTATGTGTGGGTTGAGGGATGAGGGAAGTGAAGAGGTTTTGGTCTTCTTTTAAGGAGGGGAGATTTCGTTGATTTGCCCGTCGTCGCTTGTTATAGTTGGTTCAGCTTTCTTTCTTCTTTTTTTGTTGTTGTTGGCCGAATGGCCGGCGGTCAGGCAATAATGGATTTCGGTCCATTCTAATCGGCCGGATAATCGGCTCATTGATTCCTATGTTCATTTTTTAGGTAAGCACGTCTCCATACACCTTTCTTGAGCCTTTGGTCCGCCTGTGCATCTCTGTCTTTTCTCTGTGAACTCTTTTTTCCTTTTTTTTCCCTTATACTTTTGATCCTCTTAATTTATTTCACCATTATAAAAAAAAATTTAACAATTGTTTTCTACTAATTGGTAATTACAAAATCCTCTGATTTATTTTTCAGAATTAAGGGATCGCTGGAGACAACGATTTGAGGGATGGATGCAATGAATTTATAGATTAAACATATTTTTTTTACCTTTTTATATTGTGGGCTTATAAATATCGAATAGTGATTTTTTTTTAATTTATCCCCTTTTTTTTTTGCCACAATTGAAAGAAGAAATCCCCCAACATAGCCTATTACTATACAGCAAGAGAGCTTTTACTGTACATACAGACCCATGGACACTGTTTCAATTCGGATGGTGCTCGGGTGTGTGCATGTGTATGGTGGTCTCTGGTTGGTTTCCAAAACTTTGGTTCTCTTTGAACCATGATGTGACCTCTGGTTGGCAGGTCTGTGTGTATTTGTGTGGCCCTATGAGACTGCATTGATCAACACGTTGTCTCTTGTCTTTCTCGATGATACTTGAGAGGGAACTAGAGTCAGAGAGAAGCAAAGTTCGAGATTTTTTGTGGCATACTTGGTGTGTTAGATGCCACGTAGCTCTTTTAATTTTAGCCCACTCATTTTACATAACCAGCTCTAATCTCTATGCCTACTTTTTCCTCATTGGTTTCCGTCACCACTCACCAGTCACCACACCAGAGATGTACTCTCTCAATAGGAGAGATAAGATTGAGATGGTGCGAATTTCAATCACCACTTGCCTTTCAGTTTTCTCTTCCCATCCATTCTGATATTCTCTCCTTCTTTCCTTTGTTGATAACCCTCTTTCTCACCCCCTAGATTCAGATCAGCAAACAAAGAGATCCTTCTAACTGGGGATTGCCCGTTTTAGTGATTCCATAAGGTTTACCCAAAGTGATTGCGGTGTCTACGACGATGCTGGTGGCCACACAAATAAGGTAGAGAGAGGTGGGAAAGCCCCTGATCTCATTTTTCGTTCCTTTGTTTTGTACTCTTCGTGGATAGTGATTCCCTTCTCTTCCCCCTTCCTCTTTCAGATTCGCACGATTGTCGTCGTCTCCGCCAGAGACAGTGACCAGAGACAACGATGAAGGTATTCTCTCTCCTCGATGGTTCCATCCATCCATCTTCAGCCCCTCTCTCGACCCCCTGTTATCTATACCAATTTTCTCTTTTCTTATGTCTTTGTCTTTTGTTCAATGCTTTAGAGGGTGATGTTGTATTCTGGAGTTAAAACACGGTTAGCACTTTGGATCAATCGAGGAGGTTAAGCAATCGACGATTTTCGCAATTACTACATCTCTCGACTGGGCTTAACTCTTTTCTTTGAGAGCCGATTCCGAAATCTCATTTTTTATGTTGTGATTTCTCAGGTCAAACAGAAATATGATGGTGGTAATGGTGTTACCGGCCTTTATGGTGCCTTCGGGAATCCAGGACAGAGGGGTGGCGACAAGTTCTCCTGGGACCATGCGCCTTGGAATGAGGTCAGTCTGTTTGTCTTTGGCGATGTTGTAAGTTTGGGTTTCCAACCCACTTACGATGAGAAGTACACTAACTAAAGGATAGGGTTGAGTTTGATTCTAGAAACCTGGGTATTAATCCTTCCCCTAATTTGAAATAATAGGTGTTATCTATCACTCCCAAACTGAATTTGTTTTGTTGACTCAATGATCAACAAGTGTTGATAGTAGAAAGAACTGAGGGTTGCAAGTATCGTTTCTGGTTGGCCACTGATGGGATTAGTGGAGACGATTCTTTGATGAATGCGCCATCCCTTCATAATAACCAAGAATCAATTCATCTACTCTCAATTGTTTCCTGACTGTAGTCATCACTATTATTTGATCAGCCTCTTCTTTCTCTCTTCCTTGCAGGTGCGAGTTGTCTTTTGGATCCGGGTGTTTTGACACATATTTCAGACTCTGTTCCTTTTATGATCTGCTCATGGTCCACAGCTACGAAGTTTAGATGTGGTGAACAACTGGAGTAATAAATTGGATTAGCTACTCTATTTCGTGTACTTAAACAATGATACAAGAAACTGTTCCAGTCTCTATTCTGTTCTATTCTGTGGAGGATGTTTCGCCTTTGATTTTTTATGATGATTCAATCGTCTTGGGATTCCTTATCATTTGTGAGTTTCGATTACTGTAGTCAGTTTAACAACAGATGATAACTGAGAATCGTATGTGGTGAGGATTGAATCAAACTGCAACTATGGTTCTGCTATTTCTCATAATGTAGCTACGGTGCTTATGGACCATCTATATACTGTTTGCTTTCCTTCTCTCTTATTATAATAGCTCATTTGGTTTTTGCAAGATGGAATGGAAGTTCAGTGCAGCTTGGAGGTAAAGGTCTGCCATGTGACAAGTTCAGTAGTTCAACGTTACACCAAGAGTGCTGTATTTTTTATTTTTTGGTAATTTCACGAATAAATGCATTTTCCAAACTTTATATTATTTACTTATCAAGTTAAGTTGTGCTTATTCTATTAAGCATGTAAAGTAACCTTAGTATAAGGATTTGAAAGTTGTGATTGTGTTGCAAAGATGGCCCATATTTTATCGCATGATATTTGTTGTTACTTGATGTGAATTTCAATAAACATCTTGCAGAACAATATACGCTCCTATGTGTTTTTTGAAGCACAATTAAATATGCTATAATCTCGCATTCCAGCGCGGAGCGTGGACAATGAAAACTAGTACAATCTAAACACGCCGATTGACACTTCTATTAAAGGAATTTGTTATCTCATTTTTGCAAGTGAGATCCTACGAACCTTCTCCTAAAGACCTCCCTCGGCCACTGTATTAGACTAAATCATATTTTTGCAAGTGAGATCCTACACAATCTTATCCATTCCTAAACATTAGAGAAAAACAGGGTTCTAGCCAATGCTATATACTGATCCTTTATTTTGGGTAATGAAAACTGAAACCGAATAAGATAACATCCGTTGAAAATCATTCGTCATATGTGTATACAACTTTGACCTAATTTTTTTTTTGGACTATGCAGTTTACACTTGTTTAATTAGCTGTCAATTTCAGAGTAAAGATCAACCAATAGATTGGCTGATTTTTATTGAATAAAGAAATAATCTCACCTTCTGGAATGGATGTTAATTTCATCTTGTTTGATCAATCAATATCTCTCATCTTGTGTCGTTTCATGCTAAGAAAATAGTAATTAAGGTGTGGATAGTTATAGTTCAGTTAGACCCGACTTAAAACGAGAAAGAAATCGTCCGTTAAAAATTAACAAAAAAAATATAAAAAAAATTTTCATGAAAAAGAAGGATGTTAATGTCACGCTAATATGATCGGGTTACTCACAATTACTCACCCTAATATTACCGACCTAATCCTCTCCCATTATAACATAAATGAGTTCCGTGCTAAACAATTAAAAGAGCCGGGCCAAAAAAAAATATTCTTTAATGCCTCTGTTTCCATTAATCAGCTCATCAATTCCTAATGGTGATCATTTTGAGAGGAAACGTCCCTGAACTGGCCGAACTTATCATATAATACAGAAATGAGTTTCGGTGAAAACCAATTAATTAAGCCAACTCCTTTTTGGATAAAACAAATAGTAGATTTGAGCCAGAAGATCTCAAAGTAGATGATATATTATTATTATGTTTTGAAAATCACAACAGAAAATGTCAATTGTCAAGAATATAGATAGATAGAAGTGATACTTGCCATTAAACCAACACGGACGCAACTGCAGCAACCATCAAGATTCATAATCAACGCAAAGCATTGGCTCCTTTATTGATACAGCAATTCACGAAACAAAGAACTACATGAATGCACCAGCTTTCAGGAATCAAAACAAAAATAAAATCACAGATAGACACTTCATCATTATTCATACATATCATTACATTCTGACTCGCTCATCGGAAATTCTCATCAGAACATAAAATCAAAACCCAAAAGTAATTGGATTATCCTTAGTCGAGGGAGATTTTCCTTGGAGATCCCGAATCAGCTTGTTGGCAAACCGCTCCACAGAGTGATCAATCAAGTCCCCATGAACCAAACCTTCCCTCGACGTCAAATGGTACATTCTCACCTGCTTCCCGACTTCACTCTCTCCATTCATCACCATATCAATACTCTCGCAAAGCTTCTCCTTGCTTATCAATCCATAAATCTCATCCTTCTCAGCTTCCACCGCCACTTTCAGCTCCTCTGCCATCAACTTCGCCGGCAGAACATGTTGTTTACCAAAGCCAGGGATTAACAGGATTTGACACTCACTCAGAAAAGCCTCCCACACAGATCCAAGCTCACAATCGGTGACGAAACAACCCACGGACGGATGGTTCAGAATATACGGTCGTGGAAACCACTCATCGTACACCATCACCTTGCTTTCCTCCAAACCTTTCGATACCGTCACTTCTTCGAACGACCTCCGTGCCACCAGACATGGGCGCCCGCATAACTCGAATCCCCTAAATGAAACGATTCGACAATAATACGCACAAAGAAAGTGGATAATAAAATACATTAATACGTATGTATATACGTAAACGGAGTATTTACCATTCTTAGTTTAGTTTGAGAGAGAAAGCCTTACCTGAGAAGCTCTAGAGATTGGTGTTTTGGGAGATAAACTTCTTTCCCGAAAGCGCAGTAAACAACCGAACCCGGAGGGAATTTATCCAGCCATGCGGCCCATTTATCCTCGAGGCCCGGCCCATACGTCGCTGGCCCATGGGTCAACAGCAATTTCCCGTAGTGCTCCTCCACGTAGTTGCAGAATATATGTTCCAGGGCCGACGGAGTCCCGCTCGATTTCAAGGGTTCTCCGGATCCTTCTCCATATTCCACTCCGAGGCCTGAATGCCCCCACGTGAGATAATCGTTGGCAAAGGCGCCCTCGGGAACATCCGCAGGCGAGGCCTTCATCGACGGGACGACACAGAGCGTCGTCTTCGAGTCCACGGACAAAATTTCCACGGTCACGTTCCTCAACCCTAACACGAATCCCACACCTTGGGCCTGCGAATCATAGACCACAAAATCGGGCCTCGTCTTGTACAGGATGGACCGGGCCTGGTCTTTCGCGGAGGCCGTGCAGCCCATGAACTCAGCGGACACATCTTCCACTACCTCGACCCCACGCGAAATGAAAGAGCCCACGAAGCCTGGGACGTCGCCGGTTGGACGATGATGATGTGCTTTCTCTACGTCGCCGATTGGGTGAAAAGTGATGAGGTCCGGAAATTCGTTGGGCTGGGCCGCCACCTTGTCTCGAGCGGTGATGGGAAGCAGAAAGTTGATTCGATGGCCTAGGAGTGCGAGTTTGTTGGAGAGCTCAAGGAAGATAGTGATGTGGTCAAGTGAGGATGAAGGGGCCATGACCAGGTTTAGCTGCTTCCGGGCCTCAGCCATTGCTGCTGCAGATGGACAACACAAGAAAAGTGAAGAGAAGACAAGAGAAACACTTGTTTCCAAATGAAGTAATAGTTTTCTGATACCAAATTGGGAATGCGAAGTGTGTAACCAAGGAAGGTGGCTTTAAATAGCATCTTTCCGCCAACTACTGCAACTGTATAATTATTGCATAGACATAGATAAGGCAGTAGGTTAAGTCGCGAAGTGTGTCACGAAGGGAGTGGCTATTAATAGCATCCTGTCACAACTACTGCAACTGTATTATTTATAATTGCATGTACTTTTTTTTTGAAAAAAATAATAATTGCATGTACATTGCTGGTTTATTCGTACACCACACACACACGGATAAGGCAGTAGGTTAAGTCGCTAGAGCAATTGAAGAAAGTGGGACCAATGCATTTACAGTAGCGTGAAAAGAACCAATGATTAAAACCTATAATTTTATTAGTGATTACGTGCCAATCAATTATTATCATAATGATTGGATATACTCTCATTTCATTAAAAGCAATATAGTCAAAATCGCGCTTTAAAGTTTAAAAACATACGCCTTTACTTTTTTAGGTCAGCAAAATGCTTCTACGCAACATCGCTGTTTTTATAATTAATATAGTTAAAAACCCGCTTTAAAGCTTAAAAGTTTAGGTTTTTCGTTTTTAGATTATTACTAAAACGCTTATACGTAAACACGCTTTTAACTATATTGATTATGAGCTTTTTTCTTATAGAGGAGGTTTTCAGTTTTAAGAGATATGTCATCGTGTTTCACGTTGTCATTACATTCATTCCTACAGTTCGATGGTAGCAACCGTTAGAAAGGTGGGGGAGCAATTAGGTAGGAAATAAATCATTTCAAGATCGCTTGCATTAAAATGAGAGTTGATGGGCCGGCCTGGTATTCATGAACCTTATCTCGACTGTATTGAGAAGTGACGTGTGTTTTTCTTCTTTTTTCTATGGATAGATATTCTACAGCAGCGGATCCAGGACACAGCGTAGTACTGGGCCGCATTTTATTAGAAAATTAAATATCGTAAAAAAATTACAGTTTTTTTACGATATCAATTGTACACGTCAATCTTTTAAATTTTAATATAATGAATTCATCAATAATAGAGTTTACATCCACATCAATAGCATACTCTCTTTAAAATAAAATAGTTAACCAATTGGAGAGAAATTCATCGTTCATTTTGTTGCGCAAATGTCAATACAATCGACTAATCAATTCCTATTTTCAACAGCTGCTCAAGTAATTTCTTAAGTGAATAAACCTCATATTTCTTTTAGTCTTTTACGTTTTAGAATTTTAGGTTTCATTGTTTGCTTTTCTTTATATGAGAATTATTGGAGCTAGAATTTTCAGGCTAAATTTAGAGTTGTGATTTGAATATGTTCATCTTACCCATTTTCCTAATTACGCACAATTTTATTATAAAATAACACTAGGCCAAATAGTTAAATCGATAAACTCATAAGGGCTATACTAGTTCCGGATCCAGAGGAGTGCTGGGCCGGGGCCCGGGGTGGCCACTCCCTGGATCCGCCACTGACGAGATACGTAGACAATAATAAGATTTTTGCAGACCTAACAAGAAAAAAGTAAAGCGGGCTATTCAATAAGATATTGTAACCAATGACAAGAGGGTCATTTTAATTACGATATGGCGGACCCTATTGTACACACAAGGCTCGAAATGATTGTAAAAACAACAAAAGAAGCTCAGAACACCTGTACTGCCATACAAGATAACTCCGCACCACATGCGATGAACCCTTCACATTGATCATTCGAACGACCACCTGCTCATTGATTTTGGTAACAAAACTACACAGACGTGTTAACATGCAGTTGAACTCTAATTAACGTAGTAACCATCCAGTCAGCACACCATAAATAAGCCACGGCTATAGAAAGATAGCACCAAAATTTTATTCCACTAACTTGTTGTCCGATATTGTATTCGTGCAGTTACAATGAAAACATAGAACGTCAAAACTTAAACGCGGAAACAAGATCATCAAAACCAAAATGACTTGCAGATAATTAACATCGACCATTGTTAAGTGACGTGATTAGCATTATTAGTTAGGCCCGACCGAAGCTCATCTTGCAGCTAGCGACGTTGGTGTCCCGTAGAGCTGCCGGATTCGTGGCCCTTGCAGTCAACGGCGAGGTCAACGACAGCCTCCGCAAGACAGCTGGAGCCTGGAGCAGTCCGTTGGGTCCTGAGCTTTTCGGCCGCAGCTGGCCTTTCCCATCACCGGCCCAACATGGGCCGTGGCCGAGCGGGCCTTCTTTTGAGGGGCCGCTTGCTGCAGCTTGTCCGATCCACAAGCTTGGTCACTTGGTCGCTGTATGTTGTATTCACTCTAGCGCCATCGCACTTGGGATGGAGCGCATCTACGCCGGCGCCATCAAGGCGGAGGCTGACGGCGATGATGATTAACATGAAAATGATCCCAAACGCCGATCCGGTTGCAGAGGAATAAGCCATAAGATTGGTTTTGTAAGTTCTTAATTAGTTAAGGTGTGGTATTGGTGAACTGAGTTTTAGGTCTCCTTTTAAAGAGTGCAGATCGACTTGGTTGTGTTACTCGTCAACTTTAGAGTTTGGTTCGGTTAGTTCATGTTAGTGTCATGTAATGATGATACTGTATGGGGCGTCGGTCGAGCATTTATGTGTTTGCTTGCTAATTTCGGGGACGGTTTTTGGCATCTAATTTAACCTATGCGTACGTTTGATTAATCGGCTAACTCACTTGTATTAAATTAATTTTATTTTTTCCCACAAGGACAACTCTTGTTAATATCATAGCTAAGTCTTGTGCTACAATTTACAAGTTACAACAGTCTTGTGGTAGTGATGGTAATTTGATTATTTGCATACACACCGCCATATATTATTGGATTTGATTTGTGTTTAGTTCTGACCAAGCAATGACAGCTAAAGTTTTTTTTCTCTGAATTTAAATTTTGCCCAGATTTTGAAACTTTTTCCTTATAAAGTTTTTATAATTTCCTAAGTGTGAGAAAGATTATGTTTGATAAGAGCTCAGAAAAGAGTTGATGGCAAGTTATGTATTTTTATTAAGGCAAAATGCATCTGTATAGCCAAAATTTTGACGTTTGTGACAATAATAGCAACTTTTGGAAAAATACCAATAATAGCCAAAATTTAGAAAGTTTGATGACAATAATAGCCATTTCCGTTACATAATTTAACGGCGTCAGTGACACCGTTAGTCAAACAAACGAAACACTGATCTGGCTGCCAGCTCACCCTCACTTTCGTTTCCACCTCAGTATTCATTGACAGGTGGATGCCACATCATTTACAAAAAAAAAACCCACCTATCCCTAATCTCCTCGAACTCTCTTCTTCTCCTCCAGCAACTCACCGCCCCTCCTCCCATCGTCAATCACCATTAATCGGCTTCCAAGACCCCTCTTCTTCTCCCCCAACAACCCACCACCAATCCTCCAGATCTTGAACCTCTTGCCTGCCTCTCCGATTCTGAGGCCATCACCTCCCCGGGTAAACCTATTGCCGCCATCGAATTCGGCGCCGCGTCGGTTCATCTCCTCTTGTACAACATCTCACCACTTCTCCGATGGAAATGGGTTCGGTCGAGCTGGACGGAGGGAGAAGTCGCTGCCGTCGCCAGGAGATTCGACCGTCGGAGATATGCGGAGATTCATAGTACAACAAGACGAGCTTCCGTGACTCGTCGTTGTCGTCGAGGCATGCTTTGATCAGGATGTTGTGGACGAGGGCGTGAAACTCCGGCTCCGTTGCCTTCTCTTCTTCTTCCCAACTTCATCTCCTCTTCTTCAAAATTCCCCAAATCACGAACTCAATCGAACAAAAAAACCCCAATTTAAAAATCCTCCCTATCGCTGAATTCTGTTGCTAGCTTCAAGATCTTGCAATGGCGGCGGGTTTGGATTTTGAAGATGAAGAGGAGAAGATTGGGTTGTTGACATGCAGATTCCCAGCAACAATCCTCCATCACCATTCCAATCCAAAAATCCGTCTATTCATACAGTTCTCTACATCAACCAAAGCGGCACCATTATCAGAACAGAGGCATCCCATCACCTTCGACTCGTGCCACCGCCTTCTGAAAATCTGTGGTCGTCGCCGAGCCTATGTATCACTCGATGCCCAGCTCGTTGTTGCTACTATTTTTGTGTCGCCGCCTAGATCTGGGTTTGATTAAAACGAGAGTTTCGACTAGGGAACAGGGGAAGGGATGGGGAAGAAGAGAGATGGGAGAGAGAAAAATGAAAATGAAAATATTTATTTTATTTATTTTTATTTTCCACCTCACATTCTTAATTGAATTAACGCTCGCCAACTCAGCAATGCCGTTAGTCCAGTCAGTCCGTTACTTGACACCGTCAAAGAATTGGACGGAAGTGGCTATTTTTGGTATTTCATCAAAAGTGGCTATATTTGGTCAAACCGTCAAAGTTTTGAATATACAAGTGTATTTTGCCTTTTAGAAAGACAATTAATTATGACTTATGAGATAGTAAATCCCATATCCCATTCTTTTGTACCCCTCAAGTTACAGGCGCACACTAATCACAAAACAAGAAAATGAAAAGTTTTTTTTTTTTTTAAATAAAAGCTCCCTACACATTTCCTTCTCCCTAAATTGCTTCTGCTGCTGCTGCTGCTACTACAGACAAACCTCGATTCACTTTAAACCTCCATCATGATCCATCTGAACTTTGCCCCTGTTAAGACTAGTGGGTTTCAGACTTAAAAAAAAAACTCAAAACTGTTCGGTTTCGGGTTCACCCTAAATTCAAATCACAAAAGTAAAAATAAAAATAAAAAAACTCGAAATTGTTCGGTTTCGGGTTCACCCGAACCAAACCAAACCCGCCAGCATGAATTTCGGGTTCCAGTACCCGAAACCCACAAATTACAGTTTTGGGTTCGGTTTCGGGTTGTGTGGCTCGGGTTTGGGTTTTCGGTTTTTCGTGTGTTTTGGGTTCGGTTACCTGACCCGAACGGAACCGACAGACCTAGTTTCAGTTCAGCCCATATATGCACGTAGCTGGGCTTCTACGTAGCCAAACCCGAACTCTGTTCTTCTCCTAGGGTTTTCGGCTATTGTAGTATAAATAGTGTGTATGTTGTACGTTGAGAACACAAGAGAAATATACGAGCTCTGTTTCCTGCCGTGGACTAGTCTTGTTCACACTGAGCAAGGAAACCACATTAAATCCGCTTCTTGTAACGTTCTGATTATATTTTCGTTTCGATTATCATTCTTTTTCCGTGCGAGATTGATTACTACTCCCGCCGTTACCGCCGCATCCATCCATCGGTTGCAATTCCTGCTTGTTATCGTAAATCTCCACGATGAGGCATGGTATTCAATATATGAGAGGTTGATGGGGCCGCCTCGCTATTCATGAACCTTATCTCGGCTATATAGATCGAGATGTGATGTATTGTGGTGGGTTAACACGTTTTTAATTGGGATGACAGCGATTTGCATGGTTCCTTTATTGATACTGTAATGCACGAAACCAACATGCACGAGTAACGGCTCAGGACTCAAAAACAGATACAAAATCCACAGAAATCTTAATTACGTAATCCTTATGAGAAGTGATACTTGTCATTAACCAACACGCACGCAACTGCAGCAACCATCAAGACTCATAATCAACGCAAAGCATTGGCTCCTTTATTGATACAGCAATTCACGAAACAAAGAACTACATGAATGCACCCGCTTCCAGGAATCAAAACAAAAATAAAATCACAGATAGACACTTCATCATTATTCATACATATCATTACATTCTGACTCGCTCATCGGAAATTCTCATCAGAACATAAAATCAAAACCCAAAAGTAATTGGATTATCCTTAGTCGAGGGAGATTTTCCTTGGAGATCCCGAATCAGCTTGTTGGCAAACCGCTCCACAGAGTGATCAATCAAGTCCCCATGAACCAAACCTTCCCTCGACGTCAAATGGTACATTCTCACCTGCTTCCCGACTTCACTCTCTCCATTCATCACCATATCAATACTCTCGCAAAGCTTCTCCTTGCTTATCAATCCATAAATCTCATCCTTCTCAGCTTCCACCGCCACTTTCAGCTCCTCTGCCATCAACTTCGCCGGCAGAACATGTTGTTTACCAAAGCCAGGGATTAACAGGATTTGACACTCACTCAGAAAAGCCTCCCACACAGATCCAAGCTCACAATCGGTGACGAAACAACCCACGGACGGATGGTTCAGAATATACGGTCGTGGAAACCACTCATCGTACACCATCACCTTGCTTTCCTCCAAACCTTTCGATACCGTCACTTCTTCGAACGACCTCCGTGCCACCAGACATGGGCGCCCGCATAACTCGAATCCCCTAAATGAAACGATTCGACAATAATACGCACAAAGAAAGTGGATAATAAAATACATTAATACGTATGTATATACGTAAACGGAGTATTTACCATTCTTAGTTTAGTTTGAGAGAGAAAGCCTTACCTGAGAAGCTCTAGAGATTGGTGTTTTGGGAGATAAACTTCTTTCCCGAAAGCGCAGTAAACAACCGAACCCGGAGGGAATTTATCCAGCCATGCGGCCCATTTATCCTCGAGGCCCGGCCCATCCGTCGCTGGCCCATGGGTCAATAGCAATTTCCCGTAGTGCTCCTCCACGTATTTGCAGAATGTATGTTCCAGGGCCCACGGAGTCCCGCTCGATTTCAAGGGTTCTCCGGATCCTTGTCCAAATATCTCTCCCGATTCTGTCTCCAGCCACATGGCATAGTCGGTGATAGGAGCTCCCTCGGGAACATCCGCAGGCGAGGCCTTCATCGACGGAACGATACAGAGCGTCGTCTTCGAGTCCACAGACAAAATTTCCACGGTCACGTTCCTCAACCCTAACACGAATCCCACACCTTGGGCCTGCGAATCATAGACCACAAAATCGGGCTTCGTCTTGTACAGGATGGACCGGGCCTGGTCGTTCGCGGAGACCGTGCGGTCCATGAACTGAGCGGACACATCTTCCACTACCTCGACCCCACGGGAAATGAAAGAGCCCACGAAGCCTGGGACGTCGCCGGTTGGACGATGATGATGGGCTTTCTCTACGTCGCCGATTGGGTGAAAAGTGATGAGGTCCGGAAATTCGTTGGGCTGAGCCGCCACCTTGTCTCGAGCGGTGATGGGAAGCAGAAAGTGGATTCGATGGCCTAGGAGTGCGAGTTTGTTGGAGAGCTCAAGGAAGATAGTGATGTGGTCAAGTGAGGATGAAGGGGCCATGACCAGGTTTAGTTGCTTCCGGGCCTCAGCCATTGCTGCTGCAGATGGACAAACAAGAAAGTGAAGAGAAGACAAGAGAAACACTTGTTTCCAAATGAAGTAATAGTTTTCTGCTACCAAATTGGGAATGCGAAGTATGTAACCAAGGAGGTGGCTTTAAATAGCATCTTTCTGCCAACTACTGCAACTGTATAATTATTGCATAGACATTGCTGGTTTATTCGTACACCACAAACACGGATAAGGCAGTAGGTACAGTAGCTCGAGCAATTATTGATGAAACTGGGACATTTACACTCAATTATTTTTATTTTATTCCATTAAATTTTCTCTTTTACTTAAATTTGAAATTCTTTAATAGATATAAATTTCTTTTACTTAACGTTGTAAATGAATTAGGAATTAGAAAAAAAATCATTTCAAAATGTATCTCTAAAAAAAATATAGAATTCAAACAACATGTTATATGATTTCAAAGTCACTACAAATATAAACATCTATCTACTTTCTTCTCTAATAAAAGTAAAATCCATATTTAATTTAACATTTTTAATTTCACACAATCTATCATCATTCATGTTTCATTCAGATTAGTTTTCAGGTTTCCGTTACTAGTGATCACCAAAACATAATTAGATTTGACTCATTGATTTTAACTGGGACTCAATCTAAGAGTTGAGATTAAACCATTTTTTTATTCTTTGGTACTTGTTTTTATTGGTTTGTATCTTAGCTTTTAATCATATATTGATATAATCACAAATGAAATAGGTTTTTTTTGACAAAAGATACTCATATATTGATATAATCAGATCGATAATTACATCCTGAAATTCAGCCAGGCCTGAAAGTCAAAATAACGACATGTAGTCGGGAACAAAGACAGGGTCTGTCTAGCTACACTATGAGCTACCCTATTGCTACCCCGACCTACAAATCGTACAATGAAACCCGGATAGACCTTAAAAATCTGCAGAATCTCCTCCAAAATCGCCCCAATCCGACCATCACGCGCATCAACCCGACTAAGCTTCTCAATGATTACCTTGGCGTCACCTTCAAACCGCATTGACACAAAACCCTGCGTTATACACCAGCGGATTGCTTCGCGAAGGGTAAGTACTTCCGCCACCATTGGGTCATCTAGCCGAGGGAACTAAACACCAGTCGCCCAGATGGTCTCCCCTCCCTCATTAAGGAGCACAAAGCCTCCTGCAGAGTGAGACCCTGAGCGGACTGCTCCATCCCAACGACACAAAGCCCCCCCCGCCCCTCTCAAACCCACCGTACTAGTGCTAGGAGGCGACAAAGAGGGGCGCCGGGGATCCTTAGGATAGCAATAGAGCATGGATCAACCATTCCCCTATCTGCTGGTGATACTGCCGTATCAGAGCATGGATACCAAACTGCTTCCCATCAAAGACCACCCAATTCCGGGATCGCCAAATCCTCCATAGGATAACAATAGCTTCCATGACATGCGAGGGTTGGTGCAAGATAGCCAGCAACTTCTTCAGAAACAGAGGGAATGTATGCCGAGGCAAGCCCTCACCAAGATGATCCAGACTAGACTGAGTCCACAGAGCCCTGGCCACCGGAAAATCAAGGAAAAGGTGCTCCATCGTTTTCGATGGGGCCCAACACACAGGACACCGGGCAAGGACATCAATTTTCCTCTCAATTAGCGCCTCAGTAGTCGGCAGAATTCTGTTCAATAGTTGCCAGGCAAAAACCTTCAATTTCGGGGGAATGTTGGCATCCCAAAGTCGGATCCAACTAGCTCTTTCCATCCAACTAACCTGTGCTCGCCACCGCCCATTCAACTGATCTAGACGAACTGCCAAGTGATAGGCCGACTTAACAGAGAAGAGCCCATCAACAGTAGCATGCCAAATCAGCCGATCCTCAACGTTTTGCCGAGGTAGGGGCATTGCCAGAATAGCTTGGCATGTCAGAGGATCAAACCACTGCTTAAGCTTCTCCTCGCACCACCAACCTTCCCCTGGGCAGATAACCGCAGAGACCTTTGGTTTCTCTCCCTCAGGAAGGACCCGCGGATTATACACCGGGGGTAGCAGGTGCAGCTGTGTAATCCAGTTAGAGTCAAGTAAGGGGGCCGTTTGCCCATTCCCAATCTGCCATCGTAGCCCTGCCGACAACAACTGACGCCCATAAAGAATGCTTTGCCATCCCCAGGAAGGGCGAGAACGTGCAGTGGCCGAAAGGAAAGATCCCTGCGGGAAATACTTCCCCTTGTAAACCTGAGCTAAGAGGGATTGGGGTTCATTAATGATTCGCCATCCAATCTTAGCTAAAAGAGCTTGATTGAAATGCTCGAAACGACGAAACCCCATGCCTCCCTCATGTTTACTTCCACACATATTCCGCCAGGAAACCCACCTAACCCGTGAGCGACCTTCTTCAACCCCCCACCAGAATCTCGCTACATGCTTGTCCAAGAGACGATAGAGAGACAATAGCAGACGAAAACAGGATATCACATGGAGCGGCAAAGCAAGAGCAATCGATTTGATGAGAGTCTCTTTGGCTGCTGTCGACAGAGTCCTTCGCTTCCAACCTTGTAGACGTTCTAGCAGTTTTTCCTCCAGGTACCGGAACGTGGCTGACTTGGATCTTGCTATCAAAGTGGGAAGGCCAAGATACTTATCTTGAACCCCTACTGCGCCCACGCCAAGGATAGCCGCCAAGAACTCCTGATCTGGCAAGGAGATGTTCTTGCTAAAGCACACCGCCGATTTCTCCAAATTCACCCTTTAGCCACTTAATTCTTCATACTCATTTAGTACTTCGATCAGATTCTCACACTCTTGTAGGGAACCACGGAGGAACAAGTAAGAATCATCAGCAAAGAACATGTGAGATATGCGAGGGGCTCTGGGCGCTACCTTGACCCCTGCCAGCCTCCTTTCCGAGATAGCTTTGCGGAGTAAAGCAGCAAACCCCTCCGTGCAAAGCACAAAGAGCAGGGGAGAAAGAGGATCCCCCTGACGAAGCCCCCGAGAAGGCGCAAAGAACCCTGATGGTGATCCATTCACTAGGACCGAGAAAGATGTGGACTGTAAACACTCCCAAATCCATCCTCGCCAGACCGAACTAAAGCCCATTTTTTCCAAAACCGTCAACAGAAAGGACCATTCAACTCTATCATAGGCCTTTTCCATGTCAACCTTCAGAGCCATGTATCCTTTCTTTCCACGGGTTTTGATTTTCAAATAATGCATCAACTCGTGACCAATGAGGATATTATCCACTATCTGCCTCTCTCTGATGAAGGCATTCTGCCCTTCCGAGACAATAAGAGGCAAGATCCTCGCAAGTCATCCGCCATAATTTTAGTGATTATTTTGTACACGAACTGGCAAAGGCTAATAGGGCGAAGCTGTCGTATGGATTCCACCTGATCTACTTTGGGGATCAGAGTCAGCCAAGTGTGATTGAAACTCCGGAGCATCTTACTTGTAGTAAAAAAAGAGCCAACCGCTGACACCACTGATTCCCCAACAATCCCCCAGAAGGCTTTAAAAAACTTACCCGTGAACCCATCCGAGCCAGGGGCCTGTTTTGAACCCATCGCAAAGACCATTTTGCGGATCTCTTGCGGACTGACCTCAGCGGTAAGGGTAGCATTCATTTCTGGGGTCACATTGGAGGCAATGGGAAGCTCCGCCACTCGCTCAACCATATCCTCAACCTGCGACTCTGAAGTGAAGAGAGATTGGTAAAAACTAGTCGCAATGTCCGCCTTCCCTTTTTCATCTGTTATCAACTCCCTGTCATCATTAAACAGGCCAGAGACAAAGTTTCGCTTGCGACGAGTTCGCGTGACCGTGTGGAAGTATGAAGTATTTTGATCTTCTCTCTTCAGCCACCGGACTCGCGATTTTTGCTGCCAGTAAACCTCTTCTGCCTCCCATTGCCTACTTAATTCAGTCTCAAGAGTAGCAACCTCGTGCCAGTTGATCGGGTGAGCAGCCTTAATTATAGCAATTTCATTTTGCAAGGTGTGGATATTACGCAGGGAGTTGGTGGTTCTGGCTCTGCTCCAGTCATAAAGCAAATGGCGAAACTTTTTCAACCTCTCCCACAACTGGAACATCGGAGTACCCTGAACTGGCTCCTGCCAGACATAAGCTACCATATCCTTGACCTCCGGATTATCCGCCCACCTGGCATCAAACCGGAACAGAGGCCGACATGTTCGAACATAAGGTTTATCAGACAGAAGCAGAGCCCGATGGTCAGACCCCTGGTCAGTGAAATGTTTCACTAAGGTGTCGGGGAAAAGATCCATCCAACTCTGGGAGCAAAGCGCTCTGTCTAACCTTTCACGAATACATGCCTGCCCCATGCGTTTGTTTGTCCACGTAAACACATCACCCTGGTACCCCGGGTCGTGCAACCCAATATCTTGGACCATACTACGAAGGTCCACGACTTGGGCAGCATTCCACGGGTTGCCCCCATCCTTTTCATTTTCTGATAAAGTCACATTGAGGTCACCAATAATCACAAAGGGGAGTTGCAGTCCCTCACAAAGCTCGCGCAGTTGTCTAAGTTGAGACGCACGCAAGGCGACATTACAACTCAAATAAGTACAGAGCACCACATAAGACGAACCAATTTCATTAATTCTCGAACCAATACAAAAACTGGAATGATAAAACACCGAAGCATCAACTTCGGGGGCCCACGCAACTACAAGACCACCAGAACCATCAACAACATCAACAAAAAAACACTGAGCATACTCAAACCCTAAACCCCGCAACCGACAGGAAACTACTCTCCTGGACGACGTATGGAACGTGAGGGATGGCCCAATTCCCCTCACATTCCAGGACAATAGCCTCATTTATCAGACTGGGGCCATATATGGCTGGCTTCCTCCACCGCAATAGTCTCTGAGCTTTCTTCCACAAATTGCCTCTTTGGGGTGGGACTGCCCTCAAGCCCCTCCTCAACCTCTTACAAAGGCCGCTTACGAGCCCCATCATCAAGATTAGACCCATATTCATTCAGTTTTAACACCATTTCACCTTCAGCCAGGTCCTCATGGTCTTGTTTCTCATTGATGGCCATATTCGCTTCAAAAGCAGCCACCACCTGCTTCACCTTCCCATTTTGACCATAACTTTCTTTGTCGTTGGGGTGGAGCTTGCTTTTGATAACGAACCGGAGCTCGTCCTCCTCAGATTGAGAGCCATCAGATTCCCCCTGAGCGACAGCCTCCTCCATCACCATTTTCTTTTCCTCTGCCAATAGATTTTCCTTCACTTCAGCCGCCTTAACCCCCTGTTCCTCCATGGCACTCTTACCTTGGCGGCTAATTTGTTTCTTCCCGGGTCAACCCGGTCCGCCCACCTTCCGACCAGTCTCCACCTTCTCACTCCGGTTCAAACCAGTAGACCGCTTCTTCCGGTTCGAGCGGGGAGCCTCTCGTGCTTTAGGGACCCCCGCCGCGGAGAGTGCGTCACCCATTTTCACCAATCGCCGTCCTCCCTTCTTCCCTTCCGGAGCCGCAGCTGGAGAGCAACGGCCACTGATCGGCGGGGCCTCCTCGTCCGAGTCATCCAGAATCAGCCGTCGGCGGCGAACTTCCGCCGGATCCAGGAAGCATTTGCGCTCCACTGGCAGCTCCGCCGTGAGACCAGCATCGATAGCAACAAGGGATTCGCCTGCCCCATTTCCTGGGGATGGGCTTGGGCAAGACGTTCTTGGCTTCTCCCCTCCTCCCCATCACCCCGAGCATCATTCCTCCATGGCTGTTGTTGCATCTCGCGGTGAGGTCGAGCCTGGCGACCCAGCTGGATCTTCGGCGCCCGCGGCAAATGGAAGCCGCGAGGGCTCTGGCGGCGCACTTTCCCGGCCGGAGACGGCGCTACAGCCTTGCGCGGATGGTCTGCCAGCTAGCGAGCCGGCCCCTGGACAGGCAGGACGTGCCTCTCCCCCTGAACAGTCCGCCCCTTTCCACCATGGCCCTCCTGCTGCTCTTTATAAGTTTGGTTGACCCAAACCGAATCCCCCCCTTGCAAACGAGGGGTTATTGTCTTCAGTGTCATATATCCGATTTCCCATCTTCCGAGTGGACATGTGAGGCCTAAAGTTTTCTTTGCGAGCCGGAGGGTCAGAAGTACACGCCCGAAGCACATGGCCCACCCTACCACAGGGAAAGCAGAAGCTGGGTAGGTACTCATACTTTAGGCTAACCCAGAAGTTGCCCGTATCATCATTAATGGCATAAATATGAGATCGAAGAGGCTTCGTGAAATCAATTAAAGTTTTGACTTTCACGAACCAGCGCCCCGTGTCTTGACAGGCAAACAGGTTGGATTCCAAAACTTTGCCAATGGTAGAATTCACCATCTTCCTCCCAAATTGTTGGGTGCAGCATTCCTCTTTCACATCCCATAATTGCACCCGAAACGGGACAATTGCCATGTCTTCGAAAATTTGTTTGGTAATCACCGGTGTCCAAGGGCGGAGGTGGATGTTTTGGTCGTTGATGATCCATGGGGTACGTTTGAGCACCCATATCCGAGCCTCCTCGCTTGGGAGCATGAACTCGACCAATCCATGCTTAGCTGACCACCCTGAGACGCCCTTGGATTAATCACCGGTGTCCAAGGGCGGAGGTGGATGTTTTGGTCGTTGATGATCCATGGGGTACGTTTGAGCACCCATATCCGAGCCTCCTCGCTTGGGAGCATGAACTCGACCAATCCATGCTTAGCTGACCACCCTGAGACCCTCCCTCAAATCCGTTGTGGAAATTCTATTAGACGTGAAGACTCTACCAAGCAACGAATGAGAGGCACGATACTTAGTCGATTGCACTTCATCCATCGAAAACTGAACCACCTGGTCCGCATTCACGTGCGCCATTGTCTGAACCTGCAACATAGGAGCACTTGGAATAAGACTCGACTCAACATCCCCATTAATCCGAGGGCATAGCACCCCCATGCAAGCTACATGCTCCTGACTTGGTGTAGGGGCCAATGTACTTGCCGACAGATCGCATAAAACCCCGTCCTTGGAGCGACCTGGGGGGCCAGCCATAAAATTGGAAGATCGTGGGAAAAGAAGAGAGGTCGGGAGGGTACCTGCGTGGGACGGGAGCTTGGATTTGGCCGTGGCTGGCGCTGCTCGTCGGCCTCTCTATGGATGCTCGGATGTGATAGTCTGGGTGAGAGAGCCAACACCGGGCAGTTTAAATAGCGCCCAGTTTAATTTTTCACCAAGCGAAAATCCCGTCACCACGCGGTTTCGAGAAAGCAGAGACCGACTAGAACTCTGCTCCACCGAACAGGATAAAGGAAAATAAATAATTCTAGTTGTAAAAATCCCTTTAATCACGGATACGGGATCCGAAGGATATCCTTGATCAACCGACATCCGTCTCTCGGGGGGATTCTGAACCCAGCAGTCCTCGACGGCGAAGCGTTGGCCGCTGACCAGAGCACGATTTAATTATGATCTTCCAAATGATTTTCATTTTCATAAATATATAAATTAGGCCACCCATGACCAGTCGTTACCATCATAGTACCACTTCGTACCACCTTCGCTTCTAATTTAGATTTGAAAATTTTGAGAAGAAACGAGTTCATCGTGATCTACAATTGTTGCGATAAAACTTTCAAGACCAAATAGACCATCTTGATATATGGTGAAAATTGGTGGTAGACAGTAGCGTTGTTAATGAACCAAGCCGCTCGTGAACAAGCTCGTTAACTAAACGAGTCAAACTCGAGCCATACCATGTTCAGCTCGAAAGCTCGTGAACAAGCTCATTTAACTGTTTGACATCATAAAGGAGTGGAATTCATGGATTTTATGTATTGAAATTGGGTTAAATATTGTGTTTGGTTTTGCTAAACTTTGCTACAGGTTTAAATATAATTGTTTACTATGTTCTAGCTCTATCTTGATTATTTTATAATAAAAAACTAATTTATACTTAAAATGAATTGGGACAAATATTATACATAATCAGTAGCCAACATGTTTCACCATGACTAGGGTCACAATTCCAAGCCAATCCATTCACCAAATTATTCATCTAATCCAATCCATTTGATCCAAATTCAATTGAATGGTGAATTCATGGATTGATCCATGGATCCAAATGATAAATTACGATTTAGTACCTATATTTTTCAGATTTTACATTTTGGTCGAAGATTTATATGTCATTTGGATTCATGGATCAATCCACGTCTACTAGGAGTAAATGGGAGTAGCCATTAATTTATAACATTCCCCTAGCTTCAGTGGAACCCAATCGGTTCTCCTTATTATAATGGATTTGACCACTTACTAGCTATAACGTCTGTTCTTAATCTAACTCACATAATAGGTTGGTATGGGTTGGGGAGACGGTAAAATAGCAGTATATTCATTATTCAGATCGCAGTCGATCATGATGGTTTACCTACTATTTGTAATCTCGGCGATTCAGTTAATCAACCACAGAGCGGATCCTCTTCGTCCTTTTGCGACGCTTCTCTCAGCTATCAGACGTTTAATATCGCAAGACTGGGTGGTGAAGCTAGTTCATACATATCGGGAAAGGGAATAGAGTCGCGGACTGGCTCTCGAAGCACAATCTCGTCTATCCCTACGGATTGTATGACCTAGAAGCACCGCCACATGGCGTAATCTCCCTCCTTGAGGACGACATCAATGGAGCTACTTTTCCCAGAGATGTAATCCCACCTGATTCCGCCAGCTCTCTCTAATCCCCCCTCCCTTGTTCCACTGTCTTCTTCTTTGGCCTTGTGCCTCCTTTGAATGAAAAAAAAAAAAAAAAACTAGTCCCGAGATTTTTCAACTACCATTATTAGGTATACCTAGCCATTAGCTTAATCAGTGGAGACACATATTTAAATCATTAATCATAATGTACGAGTAGTTAATAAATTTAGAAAAGAGCGGGTGTTACATCGTGAGTTGCGTTTTGTGGTGAATGAAAGCTGAGCCTGCATCCATTTATGAATAATAAAATAAACAGGAAAAGGGGATCCTGAATTGAGGAAGATTCTATTTGGAGATCACGAATTAGATTATCGGCAAAACGATGTACAGAGTTATCCCTCAAGTTCCCATCAACCGAACCTTCCCTCAACTTCAAATGGTGCCTGCCTCCTCACCTGCTCGCCAACTTCACTCTCTCCATCCATCACCATATCAATACTCCGGCAAAGCTTAGCTTCTCCTTGCTGATCCATCCATTCTCATCCTCGTCAACTTCTACCGCGACTTTCAGCTTCTCGGTCAACAACTTTGCCAGCAGAGCACGTTGATCACCAAGACCAGGGATTATCAGGATTTGTCAATGAAAGTTCTATCTTTCTTGTAAACTAGTGCTGACATTTACGAATTCACTTTAAAACCTTGTGCTCTTTATTTTTCGCATGACAACTTGACGAATGTCTGTAAACTCCACCCAACTTCCTGTCCTTCATCGCGACGATCTCCCGATGTGCTTGTGTTGGATGTTGCTCTTGGCAAGCTAGCAACAAACATATAATAAAAAAGAAAACATTCTCAAGTTAAGGTACAAAAACAGATGGGTTAAGTCTGAACTATGATCAGGTAATCAACTTTGGCCCATGGTTTGAGAAATTAACATCCTGGCCTAAACTACGCAGCATATAGACAAAATTGGCCTGGAGCGTGGTTTGACCGTTTGTTTGGACGGTCAACACCGTTGACCGTTAGTCAACTGTCCAGGTCACTGCCATGTCAGCAAAAAAAATTATAATTTCAATTTTCTTTTTATTTTCTTTATAAAATTGAATAATAAAGAAAAAAAGTATAATTTCATTTTTTTTATTTCCTTTATAAATTTGAATAATTAAAGAAGAAATAAAAAAAATCGGCCACCCATCCCCACCTTATCCCCTCGCCTTCTTTCCTTTTCGATCAGAGCCCAAAAAAACTCTAACCATTTTTTTTTCTTCCAACCATTGCCCCTCGTATTCACTGCATTGCCACCAACGTTATCTTCCTCATATCCCCGACCAGAATCTAGGGCCGGAGTCATCCTTCCCAAAGACAACCTCGTCGACCTAACGGAGTCGACCTCACCAAACCATCTTTCGACGTCGACGAATATGGAAAGAGATGAATGTTTCGTGGCGAATACCCGGATCTGGAAATCAATGATCAAGGGGAAGGGAGACAAATCGTCGATTTCGAATCGGAATTCGCGCCGGCGACCCCTTGAAGCGCTTCGCGTGGGTCGAAGAGGACGGCGACGATGAATGGAAGCGGCTAGTAGGAGACGATTGGTGAGTTCTGAATCGCCGATGGGAGACGAGCGGTGGAAGAGGGAGATGAGGAAGGCGAGAATCGAAGGGGCCGAAAATCCTCAAGATTCAGGCCAGATTCTTCTGGGTTCCAAGTATTCGACTCAAATCGGAGCATCCATTTTTTATTTGTTTATGGGTTTCTGACTTTCTGGGGAAGATAAATGTGGATCTGGGAAGAAGACAAAGGGGGAGGGGCAGTGGCAGAAAGATGAAGAAAAATGAAAAGAAATAAAAAGAAAAATAAAATGATAATTTTTTTTATTCAATTTTATAAAGGAAATAAAAAGAAAAATGAAATTATAATTTTTTTTGCTGACATTGCAGTGACCTGGACAGTTGACTAACGGTCAATGGTGTTGACCGTCCAAACAAACGGTCAAATCACGCTCCAGGCCAATTCTGTCTATGTACTGCATAGTTCAGGCCAGGATGTTAATTTCTCAAATCACGGGCCAAAATTGATTACATGGTCATAGTTCAGGCCATAATAAGGTATTAACCCAAAACAGATCTAGAACAAAGAGGGAAAAAAGAAGAAAAAGCAAAACACAACACAACACAAAGAAAACGAAGATCAAATAAAGTGCTTTGTCCCAATCGTCACCCACTCGTGAAAGAGTCTATTTGAGATCCGACTACGAACTCGTAGCCACCGTCCGACCATACGAACAATCTTGTGGCCGTGTCTGAT